TGTATCTGTTTTCTGAATACTTATTTCCATGAACAGGACCTATTTGTGAAAATTTAAATTTCATCACATACAATCAGGAGTGTCAGTAAGAGTAATTTGTTATTTGTTTTAAGTTCATCACACGTATTTGATCTAGATTTTATGAATTAAAAAAAAAAAGAAAAGAAATAGAACCTTGTCTGTGAACTTATACAAGAACAGACTTAAGGTAGGAAATAACGGCAACTGCCACTTATTCACATGGATATCTATTTCATCCATCTCGATTAGCATCTGTCTCTCTCTACACAACCACACAATATCTATCATGAATATAATACACACCAGATGACCCTTTCTTTTAATTTTTTTTTTTAATTTGCCCCATTTAACTTTTAGAAGTCTCCAGCACATGCTTTAATCCATTCTTTAAGAAGACGCTTGATATACTATACCTCATGCATATTTTGAATGCATGAAGTCTCTGCTTACCTCAAATATATAGGCAAGGTTCTTCTTTGTAGATAGTAATCCCTTATGGACTCTTGCAATCCCTATCTCTTTTGGTCAAATTCTAACCTTTTGGTCGTCAAACCGAATAGACTTAGCCCTGTCCATGCAATCTTGGATGACAAGAGGAAGATTGAATAACCCTTTTCTCTGCAACTTTGAATGACAATAGACATAATGAATACAATTATAACAAATGATAATAAGGTTATTAAGGTTAAGATGCCAATTAACCAAACAACTCCCAAATTATGAATAATACTTCAACTCTTTTTCATATTTGTATATCATATATGTGTTAGTGCTTCTATATTCATGCATCTGACTCTCCATGAATAGATTCACCAATGCAGTACCTTAGAGACATGAAAGTGGAATGCAGGGGCTCGTTCCTACCTCGTCTCCTAGCGACCTGTGCTAAATATACTGAAACTCTTGACTTTAACAATGCAAGTGCAGCACTTGAGAACATTGCTAGTGTTGCCTCCCCTGATGGTGATCCAATGCGACCTACTTTAATAAAGGGCTTGCTTACAGGTTGGTCAAGAATATTCATGGTGTGTCTGAGGCCCTGCATGTGTCAAATCCCTTGCCAACCTTAGAACAACAGTATGCCAGAAAGTTGTTCGTTGACTTCTGCCCATTCTTGAATTTTTCTTATCTGATCACCAATCAGGCTATTGTTGAAGCCATGGAAAGAGAACAAGTGTTTCATATTATTGATCTCAATGCATGTGATGCTACTCAATGGATATATCTTCTTCATACTTTGAAGGAACAACGCCAAGGAGACCAACTACCTTTTCTGAAGATCACCGGAATTCATGAGAATAAAGAGGTTTTGGAACAAATGGGGTTTCAATTGATTCAAGAAGCTCAGAAAATCAGCATCCCCTTCCACTTCTATCCCATTGTAAGCCAGTTGGAGACTCTATGCTTCGAGAAATTGCCTCTGAAACCAGGAGAGCCCCTTGCTATAAGTTCTGTTCTTCATCTTCATTCTCTTCTGGCAGTTGATGATCAAATCACTCCTGATTCAGTCTTACCACCTACTCCTTCGCAATGTGTTTCACCTAAGATGAGGTGGTTTCTAAGTAGCCTTTTTAAACTCCAACCGAGGCTGATGGTCATTACAGAACAAGAATCAGATAACAATGGGCCTTCGTTGACAGACAGGCTTGATAAAGCACTGAACTTCTATGCTGCACTGTTTTATTGCTTGGAAGCTAATGTTCCAAAAGAAAAAGCAGCAGAGAGAATCCTGCTGGAGAAGATGCTTCTTGGGGAGGAGATAAAGAACATTATTGCTTGTGACGGAGTTGAAAGAAAAGAGAGGCATGTCAAGTTTCTGAAGACATGGTGCCCATCGCTTGAATTGGCCGGGTTCATGAGGGTCCCCATGGACTATGAGAGAATGTTGCAGATAACGAGGCCATTGCAGAGTTATGGGAGTGGATACAAGTTGCTAGACTTCAATCAATGTCTGTTTACATGCTGGAATGATCTCCCACTCTTTTCTATATCAGCCTGGAGGTTCTAAGGGAAAATTTCAAGGTGGACTTGTAAGAGCACTATAGGAAGCCCAGCTTCATGTCAAGCATGATGAAGTATCAATAGCATTGTTTGATTTGAGTTTGTTAACAATATACAAATGTAGGTGGTTTTATGTCTTTTTGTCCTAAACCATGTCCACTTGTAAGTTAAGTTGAGTCCGATGGTGAAGAATGAACTGTAATAATACCACCATAAAGCACCGTGGGTGCGTAAGCTTGTATAACAGAACAATAAAGTCAAAAGTTCTTTGACTACATTATTTCAACTCATCTATTTCATTGAGTTCTTTTAAGCTTTGTACTATGGTATTGGAGCTGTGATTTTTATCATCAATTGAGAATTCAGTGCAGTTAATAAGTGAAGAACCATAAAGAAGCAGCCCAAAGTTTACCGTCTTGACCTTCTCAAATCCAAATTCGGATCATACTTGAGAGGAAATCTTACACTCTGTTGTGTTGTTATTTTATTACATAAAAGTTCCCTTACTTTGTGTTTGCAGTTGGACACAGCATCTCCTCATTTGGATCACTGTAGATTTGGTGTGTGCTTGTTCTACGTTCACTAACTTGTCTAGTGTCTACATGTCTGAATTAAACTAGCACTTCACAGAAATTCATCAGCGATTTACAGAATGTGATATCTTTTGAAAACCCACTTTTCACTGCTTACTCTGTTTTTATTTATATTATTGTGAAAGCTATTTCAAATCAAACAGTGAGAGGAAAATTTGCGGAGATCCGAACCCTTTTGTGATCCTCCGTGCTGATAGGCAGAGAAACTTACACTGTAAATAATATAGAAACCTCAGTTATGGCTCTACTCCAACTTCTAGTAGTGGCGGAGCCACACATGTATTTCAGAGAGGGCATATGCCCCCCTCAAATGAAAAAAATTACTTACATAGAATTGACATATAAGTATTTATATTTTACACTCCCTCTTTTTTATAGTTTGTATTTTAAACCATTTTATATTATTTTTTAGCTTAGATTTAAAATTAATTTTTTTAACTCAAAAGCCCAATAAATTTTAGCTCACAATTTTAATATACTCAAATAGTAATATTATTTTACAAAAAATTAACATTTATTAAACCTATAAGAAAATAAGAAAAAAATATCTCGCCCGTGTCATTTGAAATCTTAATACAAATTTATCAAAAAATTAGTTGAAACTAAAAGGCATATTATTTATCTATTAGTTTGCTTTTCTTAAAATTAGCAATGATGTTATCTATTGTCACATCAATAGTTGAAAGAGTCTTTTCTATTATAAAGTTTGTAAAAATTTGATTGCACAATCGAATGAGGAATTTATGAATGAATAATTATTTCGTGGCTTATATTAAAAAAAATATATTGAAAGTATTGACAATGAGCTGATTGTTTAATAATTTCAGAACATGAAACCATGTAGAAAAAATTTATAAGGTATGTAATTATTAAATAATTTTTATTATTTTTTAAAATTATAAATATTTAAATGATTTTGTCCATCCTGGCCCAAGATCCTAACTCTGCCACTGACTTCTGGTGTTGCATTAAGTTGGATCTGGCTCAATTTTCAAATATAATTCCTTCTCTTACTTTAGTTTTTTATTTTATTTTATTTTTTAAAAAATGACTATCCTAAGAAAGATTTTAGAAGAAGAAACTGATATGCATTACAGACAACAGCTTTGTCCAGAGTTTCTGGTTTCTTGCAATAAGATGATATCCATAGGATTATATAACCTTATTCCATTGGCCCTATTCAATTTTCTTAGCCCATCACAATCTTCCATGTGTGTGTTTGCATAGAGTAATTCTCTTTGGGTGGATTAATGCATCTTGCTTTTGTTTTTAACCCTTCCTCCTAGTTGCATCATAGACTAGGCTGAATTAACTAAGCACTATATGGGTTACTTGCCTCGTTGCTAAGACAACTTTAATATATATTACAAAACCAAAGAAAGATAAATGTATGATCAGAAAAGAATCCAATGATCAATAACATATTATGACATAGGATTCTGTAATTATACCTGGGGACATCCGAAGCCTTAGGAGAAACATTTCTGAGCATATAGATATATATATATATATATATATTTTTGGCGAAAGTGGATATAGATACTGTTTGAAAGATGTTGTTTGTCCCTAGCTAGCACTTCCATAGACTAGGAGAGAAATGAGAGAGATATTTCTGTCTCAATATATTTATATACATACAAATGACCAGAAAAAAAAAACAAGTATTTAAATTTGTTTCATTCTACTAACGTTTCTTATTTCCTCGATCGGTAAAAAACCATATAACAATATAATAGAAATGGCGATGACATCAAACATCTTGTGTTTTGTCCTCAAATGAATGCAACATTCCTGCATCTCAAGTTTCTATAAAACAAAAACCCTTTTAATCAAAATTTTGCTCCCCTGAACTCCAAATATTTCAAGTCTCTTTATTGTATTACTCTTCACAATGGATACAGGTATATGCATATGGTCTATTTCTCCTCTCCAAATATTAGTTTATATATATTGCTGAATCCATTAAGAGTCTTTAGAGATATCGATTAACAAAACTACATATCTGTGAGCTTATTGTGAGGAGAAATTAAAGAAATTGTTCCTCTTTTTTTTTTTTTTGTGGCCAACAGTGTAATTGTTATGGAGACTTAGTGTTGTCCACGTGAGACTCAAGTAATAATCAAATGTAATTAGAGTGGGTTTGTGAATTTTTTTTTTCCAGATCAGGATCGTTTGATCTCAAAATCTTTTCCTACACCTCAGTCCACCTTGTCAGGGCACTACTTGTGGTTGATAGTGTAAATTGTAATAGATAAGTTTGTTTGTTTGTTTTTTTTTTTTACCAAAAAAAGTTTGTTTATTTATTCTTTATTTTTTAAAAAGGTAAAAATTAATAATTTGATATCTATAATTTTGAGTCCTTAATTGAGATCAAACTTCAACTTAACTCAGTCCAATTTGACTGAACACAGGCACAGCATAAACCAAAAGATTATTTGATTCTTAATTTCCTAGTTCATCTTTGTTGTTTGATTACTGATCAGGTTCAAGCTCAAGCTCAAACTCACCATACCAGTGGCTCAACGGCATGGAATGGGAAGCGAAGAGCATTTTAATGGCCCGTCTTCTTCCCCACGGTGCTAAACTTACAGAAACTGGCGATATCGTGAGCGTCGTAACCACCCTCCAGAAAATCGCCACCCTCGCCGCCCCAGACGGCGACGCCCTTCAACGCGTCGCCACTTACGCCAACGAAGGCCTCGCTTATCGGATGCTCAATAAGTACATACCTGGTCTGTCGGAATCACTCCGGCTGACAAATCGCTTGTCAGCGTCGGAGCTGGTTCTTGTCCGGAGACTCTTCCGAGAGTTGTGTCCCTTCTTGATGTTCTCGTACTGGATCTCGAATCACGCCATCGCCGAAGCCATGAGAGGCGAACCGGTGATACATGTGATCGATTTCAACGCTTCCGATCCAGAGCAGTGGATCCATTTTCTTCATACATTGAAGGATCTGTGTCACGCGGATAATCGACCTCTGCCGTTTCTGAAAATCACGGGGATTCACGAGAAGAAGGAAGTTCTTGAACAAACGGGGTTTCTGTTGATGAGAGAGGCTGAGAAATTGAAATTCCCTTTCTTCTTTTATCCATTTGAGTGCAAATTGGAGAATCTGATGTTTGAAAAATTGCCTTTGAAGCCAGAAGAGCCTCTTGCAATCGTTTCTGTTCTTCAGCTCCATTCCCTTCTCGCTGCTGATGATAATCAAACGGCCACGACGGGGATTAATTCTCCTGCAGGTACGGCTATTTTCAAATGGATATTATTGGCGGGTGTTGGTAGAGCAGGGAACATCGGCTCCTATAGGCTCAAATTTGCCTGTAAATTCTTTTTATTGCTTTTTATTTTTTAAATTTTTTAAAAATTAAAAATTTTAATTATAATATTTCAAAATAATAAATATTCTAATTTTAAAGTATATAAATTATAAAATTTAAATTTAATTTAAAAATTAAAAAATATTTTAGGCATAAAGCAAAAATTGGCTGGTCGAATCTTTTTTTTTTTTTTAAACTTATTAATGTTAGACTTTAAAGTCAATTTCACTAAAAAAATTTTAGATCCAAACCTTTATAAAAACATACTTAGATGGGCAATTTGTGAAATTCGATTCTTATTCTCAACTCTAGTGTTGGTAACTTAGGAATAATAATAGTAGGGGAATTAATCATTTACTCCTAATAATTTTTGACTTAATCCTAACTCTATTATTAAATTTTTCATTATTATGATTCAATCTTTATAATTTTAATTATTTAAATATTAGTTTTTATATTTAGAAAAATAAAATTATAATTATTTTATAACTTAGAAACTACTATTTTAAAATGCTAAAATTATAGGGACTTAGTGAGTTACCACCACCAAAAACTAGCATTACCACTAAATTTTAAAAGAAGTTTAATATAAGATCATAACAACAGCATTCTTAAAACCTTAAAGCATAATCCCTTTATAACTTTTAATAATTTTGTTTTTATAAAAAAATATAATATAATTATTATTATCGAACATTTCATTTAACTGATAAGGGAGTCGTGCTAGTATAACTAGAATCTTAAATTCAAGCATTGGAAATGTTATAGCATTAATAATAGAGATTCTGCTCAAAAGGATGTGTTCCCTACTCAATCCCAATTAGTCTGGCCCTCATTAAGTTTTATCAACTCAATGTGGGACATGCAAGCTTAAGATACTAGATGTTTCACACACAAAAAAATTATGATTATAATTATTGTCCTTATTTATTTTGGTGCCTTCTAGTCAACCCACTTGATGGATTAGGTCAAATGATGATGAATGGGTATTTTTCAGAGTTGCTTGGGAAACTTAGGATCAGACCAAGTCCTGATTCAGCTCTTTCTCCATGTGCTTCCCCTAAGATGGAGTGTTTTCTAAATGCAATCTGGAACCTCAAACCCAGGTTGATGCTCATCACTGAGCAAGAATCAAATGCTAACGAGCATGCTCTCAAGACAAGGCTAGAGAATGCACTCATATTCTACGGTGCACTCTTTGATTGCTTAGAAGCCAATGTTCCTAAAGCAAGAGAAGCAGATAGAACAATCATGGAGAGGATGCTTCTGGGTGAAGAAATCAAGAACATCATTGCTTGTGAAGGAGTTCAGAGAAAAGAGAGACATGAGAAAGCTGAGACATGGGTTCGATGGCTTGAGCTTGCTGGGTTTCAAAGAAGATCTTTGAGCTATGCTAGAATGTTGCAGGCAACAAGGCCATTGCAGAACTATGGAAGAGGATACAAGCTTATAGAGCATGATCAATGCCTCTTTGTTTGTTGGGATGATCGACCTCTCTACTCAATATCAGCATGGAAGTTCTAAAGACTTCAACTCATCATCAAGGAGAGAAATAGAGATAAAGACGATGGTATGCATTGGAAACACAAAATCTCTTCGTTTCCTTATCATCATTTTCTCTTCACTTCCCAAATTACATACCATTTGACTAAAACAAATTCACTTAATGCAGTGATATCAATTGTTATAATTGGGGAAGTGAAAGGAAAATGATGATAAGAAAATAGAAAGATTTCACGTCCATGTAGTAGAACTCACATATCTCCAAGTTCTACTATCATTTATATCTCTCTTCTCTCATAATTTAATGGGATCAAGCTACTCTTTAAGATTTTTTTTGTCTTGACTTATTTTAAGTGCACTTAAAATAGGTGTGCTTTTCGTATATCTATACAAGTCAAGACCATTTCACTTGAAGAGAATCTATACTTCAAAATGATGCAGCTGAACATGGGGGAAAATGTGAGCCCACAATTGACCATTAAGCCATTGAAGGGAGTATGAGCCCACAATTGACCATAGCCATTGAGGGGGACAATGTAGGTCCAAATTATAAAAGATACAGAAATCAATCTCAAGTTTAGAAAAACACATAAGCTTGTTAGTTTAATGTACTTTTTATAAGTATATGCAGCCATTTACAGTTTGCTTATGTGACTTTTTATAATTGGTTTGATTTATGTAATAAAGTTTGATCATCTGATGAGATTTGTTGCAATATGTATCTGCTAAAATTGGGGAGATAAAAAGAGAGAGAAATGTTGGTCCACTTTCTCATCTCTCTCTTGGTATATTAGTGTTTTATATATTGGGTCTATATATACCTTATATATCTTTCCTAATTTTTCATATTATCAAGTGTACTTAGCATCAATAAATTAGAATTTTAAGATGAAAAGGTTGATATTTGTAAGATAGGGAAAGGGTGATTTAGTTAAAATTTATATCTTTTTGTATCCTTTTTCATCTTTTCTACTGCAAAGATTCTATTAATAATTGACCTTTTGTTGTTATTTGTTCTCCCTAATAACACAGTAATTTAGATTAAGCTTAACAAATTAGTTCAAATGAGCTTGAAAAATTTTAAAATTAAATTTGAGAGTTTCTTTTAAAAAAAAAATTTACTTCCAACTCATGTGAACTATTGAAAAAAATCTAAGTCAAGCTTGAACTTAAATGAATTTAGTTCAAATAATCAAATTCATTTTTATTATTAATAAAATAAAATTAATATTTACTCCAACTTTCATTTAAAACTTACAAACCCTTCCCTAAACTCCCAGTTAATATATTTTACACTCTTAGATGAAATTTTAATTTTTTTTTAAACATTGTTTGAAAATATTTTAGAAAATAAATATAAGAGCTTACTTCAATCTTAATTTAAATAAGCTAAATATAAGAGCTTACCTCACAAAAATTAATGGATATATATATATATTAAAACATTAAAACAGTGTGACCCAATACAATTACAAATACAGATAGTGTCAGAAGCAGCATGATTTTTCTTTTTAAAATGGATAGGTATGGATGAAGCGATGATCAATAAGACAATAACTGCTAAAACAATAATAAGACTAAACAAAGCAAAAAAGCAGAGACTTAGAAATGAATCACAGTAACATTGTACTCCACAACAGCACTTCCAGATTTAGGATCAAACCAAAGAGTATGAGCCAAAGCATAACCTCTGGCAAATCGAAACAAACCACTTCCTCCGACAATAGGCATCTCCCTGACATCTTCCATCGGAGGGTTCCTCCCAAGAACACTCAGTGAACTGCCTCTGTAAATCCCCTCTATGAACGCATAGTTCATCACCATCAGCAACACGACGTCGTGTTGAGACGCCGACGCGTACATTCCCTGAGCTCTTCCCACTAGCTTGGAGGTCAGTTCTGGTCCTTCTGTTAAAGGGTCATCAGTCATGAAAGTGGTTCCAAAATTGCTTTTTTCAGGGCTAATGATTCTGACAGCACTAGGGTTTTTGCCGTCGAGAGTGTCGTGGAAGAAGAAGTGAAGGTGAGTCGTTTTTTGCGTGTGTGTTGTGGTTAAGGCGATAGGGTTGTGTTCTGAGAAAGCTCCATTGATGGTGGAGATGTAAGTAGAGAAGATAGTGATAGAGAAGAGAATGATGATGAGTAAGCTGAGAGGGAGAGCCATTTGTTTTGCTCAGATATGTTCTGTTCATTTGGTTTACTTTGCATAGCACTGATCTTATTTATAGATTTACAGATCATAGATTTGGAGATGACATCAATTGGGCATTGGTTTTGATTAAGCTTTATGTGTACTTAACTCAGCAATTAGATCTTTTTTGATTTAAGATACATTTCCCTTTGGCAAAAAAAAAAAAAAAAAAAATCCTTGGCAATCAGATCTGGACGTTGAGATGGTTTAACAGCAGAATTTATTACACACTACCAATATGCCATGTCATTTGTGCTGTATTCACTAGATCCAAATGTAAAGAAAAGTTAAGAAATAAAGTATTTGTGTATTTGATTTTCAATTTTATCAAAAGTTAGTCAACTAAAAATTCATTTGGTAAAAAATAATTTGGTAAAAGTTAGTTATGAAATTTGTGTTTAGATAAATTTTTTAAAAACTAGTTTGATAAATTAAAAATTATTTAGATTATAATGATGATGATGTAAAATTAGAAGAGTGGAAATGAATTGACAAAAAAATTCTGCAAAGGTTTTTTAGAAAGCTATCCAAAATTAAGTTCAAGAAATAGACTTTTGGAGCTTTTTCAATATACTTTTTAAATGAACTTTGAAAATAGTTTGAGAAAATAAAACATCTTTTACATTCTTAAATTTTTAAAAATTTTTTTTGAATGTAAACTATAAGCAAATCAAACCGGCTTGGAATCAATAAAGAGAAGATGTTTGTATCTTGAAAATATAAAATAAATTTAAATCTTCTTATCTTGTGAGTGTTCCTTGTAACAATAAAAATCATGAATTCAATCAGACAGTCAACAAAGATATTAGCACAAGATGTAGGAAAAAAAAAATCAAATCATAGTTTTTCTACTATAATTCAATGATTATATAACTGTAAAGAAATAATTAAAATATATTCTCATAAAATGTCATTGAAGTCACGGTTTTATTTATTTCTAATCAAGCATAAATTTTTAAGCCTAGATGAAATTCTAAAATTATAATATAGATACTTAATGGGTAAGAGAACTTGAAATACTCACATAATTCAACAAAAGTGGGTTTAACTGAAAATATGTTACCTCATACTCCCTCCGTTTTTATATATAAGGTATTTTTTAAAAAAAAATTTATTTCTAAATATAAGACATGGTAATAATATTTTTGAGTAATTAAACAGTTTTATCTTTATCTTAAAAAATGAAATAGATAATAGATTGTTAATTATATATTTTCCTTACTACCATTATGATATTAATTATGATATTATTAGGAATAAAATTAAAAAATTATTGTGTTTTTATGTGAGTTTAACTAAATAAGAAATCTTTATTGATATGTGAAATTTAATTAAAAATATCTTATATATAGAGACAGAAGGAGTATCTTACAAGAATATTGTTCAAATACTGCTAATTTAAGAACCTTATTATTAAATAATTTGTAAGTATTTTTGTAATTATTTGAGACATGTATGGGGTTTAATTTATTAAGTAGTAATTTCTATGGTTAACCGGGCTTCAAATAATCTAAAGAGAGAATGACAATTAGATATTAATAGAACAAATTAATAAAAATTAAATTTCAAAAAAATTTAAAAAATTATAAATACTAATTCAAATAATTCTAAACAAGAATTTGAATTACAATATCACATTTAAAACTTAAATATCTTATTTATAATTAAGGTTTTTAGATTTATTGTTGTTTAAATTAATATTTAGAACTCATTTCTCAAAAAAAAAAAATAGTGTCAGATCCACATTATCATTAATTCATTTTTCTATGCCTTATTGTCATTCTGCCTGATTAAAATTGTGGCAATCATAATAGGATCCAACATCTAGGATTGGTCAGCTTTTGTAAAGCATGTTTGCCCCTCTCTCTCTCTCTCTCTCTCTCTCTCTCTCTCTCTCTCCTCTCTCTCTCACATTTTTTTTTTTTATTTTCTGGCGAAAGTTTGCTTCCCTTACAAACAATGCTTCTTCGGCCTCTTTTTAAATCTTTGACAGCAAACCCACATTTTTCCCACTTTCATGTTCCATGTTTTGGTTCTTATCCACGCATTCTTCTGTATAAAAGACATCTGATATATGTTTTTTAACAATAGTTGTTCTTTTTTATTTTTTTAACAACAATCCAATAATATTCAGTATTATATTAACCAAGTTAAATCGTAGTTGGCAGGATCCCAGGTAGATGAAAAAAAGGTTCTCCCAACATATAGGTTTTTTTATTCACGAAAATTGAGTTCAAGATCATAAGGAGCTTTGTCTTTATCTTTTTTTTTTTGTTTTATTTTTAATCTGCAAAGTCCGAATTAAATTATTTCCATTCAATTCAATTATCATCCAATAAAGCCTTCCATTTGGTGCCTCATAAATCAAAATCGTGAATAAGACCATGATTTTGGGGCACTCTAGAAATTGGCACATTTTCTGTTTGGAATCTGGAGTAAAGCAAAAACCATCACATTATTATATAGGAATAGAAAATTATCCAAAGTTTCCAAAATAGTAGTGCTTGATCACATAATTGAAATGATAGAAGAAGCCAACACGCTCAAAAAAAGCCTTTCCCAGCATGCAAGAAGAAGCATGCTTGCTTGTGCCTCCCGCAAACAAACACAAGCTTTTGATCATCCTCATGATGACAAGTGTCAACGATGAGGTTGATAGAAAACAAAAATAAATGAGAAAATTATACTCAAGTTCCTCTCAATACAATTAAATACTCTAACCTTTATTAACATTGTAACCACATTCACCACAATTAAATAGTTATCAATTTGTTATGCTTAGATGTCAATAGATTTTGTAATATTGAATTATCTTGTTTAGATGCAAACGTAATTTTTCAAAAAAAAAAAAAAATCCCCTGTTTTTTGGGCCAAAAAATACTCATGTTTTGTAAACTCTTGTTTCTTAATGTTATTATTCTCTTTTTATCCAAAAAAAAAAACAAAGAAAGAGAATCAAAGCTAAATTTAAGCACAAACTTGTTGATTTACAGGCTTCTTATAATGCAAGATATATCATACAAGATAAATCAGCAATTCAGAGGGAATCAGATTTCAAACACACATGAGCTATTTATTGAAGGAAATTACAAGAGAAAGATATACTGTTCTATCTTGTTTATTGACTCAATAGTCTTGTTCATTATCCAGAGGGAAGAACGTCAATTGCACAATATGAATCAGTATTCTCATTCTCAATCCATTGGCAATCAGCAGATTCATCCTATCAGTATATACAATAAAAAAAATTGATCATTTATTTACTTCCATTATGACCAATTGTCTTCAAAACCACCTTCAACATTCCGAACCTACAATGAGAAGGGGTTGAGCTTGAAATGAAATTCAACTTTGCTTGAGTGATGCATGCATTTTTCCAATCAATAATCCTTTCACCATTATCCTTGGAAATTTTTGAATCATCGCAGTTAAGTTATGCAGATTCCAAGAGGATCCTAGTTAAGTATGGTAGCCTAGTTTCAATGCACATAATAGAGTAAAAATGGGTACATATTGTCTCCTGATGTTAAGCTTCTGGCCTCTCCAGGTGTACACAAAGTAGGTTTACTTTTTGTTCACCTGGAAAGATTAGAACCCATGGATCTAGAGACAACTCTGGTCCAGTAAAGTTTTATAGATCATTAGAAGAAGGCCAAAAAGAAATAAGCATGTGGTAGTTATAATTCCTTAAAGGAAATTCATGAATTATTAAAAATTTACATACCAATTCTTTTATGTTAAATCAGAGTAAGAAATTAAAGGAAGGTGTATATCTCATCTAGACTTTTAGCATGTAAATTTTGGCAGATTGAACTAGTATAAGTAGTTAAACACACATGTTAAATTACTACTATCATAATCTACCAATTTTTACAAGACCAACTGACCAAGTCTACACAAAAGTGTTTTCACATGTAGTGTTGATACTAGATCATCAATAGATCAAGTGCCATAAAAAATATTAATTATTAACATACATAGTAGTTTTTGTTCTATCATATCTTTTGAAAGTTGAAGCAACATAGAAAAATCTTGCCTGAGATTGCAAAGAACAAGCTGGTGCAAAGTAAATGCCGCATTCCTGAAGCTGCTAGAACGCATGTTAAGTCAGTTAACAGAGGTCTTAGATCACGATGATTTCTGCCTCAGCCACATGGCTTTCTGAATATTACATGAAAAGTATCAATATCATTTAAGAAAAATGGATATCCGAAAGGAAATAAATGTTCCATGTATATATATATGTATTATATATATAACTAAAATAGAATTCATAGTCATCAGAAAAAAATCCCCAATCTGAAACCAATCAATGAATTAAACTAGAAAAGGGCCCATCATTGCCGCCAGTTATCAAAGCAAACGTACCGTTAAAAAATTTGAAGTAATAGATTTAAGGGATTTAAATATGGATTTAAATTCCAAACCAAGTTTTGGCCCCAAAAAAAATAAAAAATTCCAACCAAGTAAATAGCAGATAAAAGTTTCTTATTTTCAAAACTAACCATTCACTCACACTCAGTGGCCCAACAAGTCTTGCAAGATTCTGAACAGGGACTGAAACATGTCTCGAGTATGAAGTTTAGCCATATCTGATTAATCTTCTGTTGATACGTATGCGGGGAATGTGAGCAATTTTGGGCCAACCTTCATTTTTTTCCCCGTTGCATCTTGGTTCAAGCAACGGGCAATTCCATGCATGCAGGGCAGAAAGGGAGGCTGGAAGTTTTTCTGGTATGCACTGAAGTTCTGAGTTTTTCTGGTATGCACTGAAGTTCTGAACAGTCTCTTATCTCCAATGACTGTAGAGAGGTCAATTTCTGAATCCCATGTCCACTCAACACTTAAAATTCTGGAGTTTACGTATATAAAGGGAGGAAAGAGAAGATGGAAGCAACCATTCTTCTGGGAAGGATTCCCCATCTTTGCATGCACCTTTGATACCAAAGCTTCGAAGAGAAGGGAGTCTTTGCAAATCCCAGTTCTCTCTCTCAACAAAGAGCTTGTCACAGCGATTGATCTCTAATGAATGTAAACCTTCTGGCAGTCCTTCTGCTGGAAACAGCTCAAGCTCTGGACAGAGAAATATATTCAAAGTCACTAGAGAAGGAAGCAGGTTACTCATCTGATGGGGCAATGACTTTAAATTCTTGCAATTGTCAATGAAGAGATAAGTGAGGTTTAGAGCTGAGAGTCCATCTTCTGGAAAAGAAACAAAATCAGGACAATTACTTATCCTTATGGAGGTGAGAGATGGAAAATGCTACAAGTGATCCCCTGAAGTTGAAAGAGACTCTAGATTCTGACATCCTTCAAGGTCAAGATGGCTCGGCTTTGGAAAGAAACTTAAAATCAAGGACTTGAGAGAACCAAAGCTAAATTTTATGCACAAACGCTCAAGAGTTGAAAAATATTGGTTCATGGGAAGCTCAAAAATCCCACAGTTTGCAACGTTGAGTGACTTCAATGTGTTAGCAAGGCCAATTTGAGGAAGCTGACGAATTACCTGGCAGCTTGTGATGCTTAGCTTTTCAATAGAACAATTCCTGTTGTCTGCAACCCCAAATGGCAACTCAAAAGAATCATATCCACCAATTGAAAAATCCAACAAACGAGGTGGCAGTTCCTTCATTGATACCTTTTTACAGTCTTTCAACTGCAATTCCCAGATTGTTGGGGGAACAGTGGCTACAAGTTGCTCACACTTTGAAATCACCCGTTTGGCTAGAAAAGGGAGTTTTTTGGGCAAGCCCTTCAGTTTTGGGCAATTTTTTATATAAAGCTGTTGAAGACAAGGAAATGCTCCATCTGCATTTTCATCTATTACTGTAAAAGGAAGCCATACTTGCCACTGGGGCATGTTCTCAAAGCGCAAAGTTTGAAGGGACCTGAATGGTCTAACTGCATTTCTGCGAGATGGCTCAACTTGGTCAGAAGGAATGTAATAAAAAGAATCACCAATAGAAACTACAAGTGAAAGCCGTGTTAACGAGAGAGCTTTGAGGGAAGGCAATTGCCCAAGTGGTGGCAAGAGAACACAAGTTGTACAGTCATCAATACATAGAGATGCTAAATTTAAAAACTGGCATCCACCTAACCAGTCTGGGAACGATGTGCTCCCATAACCCTTGATGGTAAGTTTCCTTAAGGCTTTAGGAGGTTGCAAGTGAGGAAGTACACTTCTAACTTCTTCTGAATTATTTGCGGTCCCATTCCATTTCAACACCAATTCATTAAGCTTCTCTTTACCGACCAAATTAGCCATCATGGCATCTTGAGGACTAGCAACATGTTGCAGATTGGAAATAGTGAGCTTTTTCCGAACAAATTGAAGTTCCTTCAACTCTTTGATGCTCGACCCACATCTATTACCTTGAACAAATACTGTTAATATCTGAAGATTTTTCAATCTACCCATATGCTGTGGTGTCTGACTTAATTTTGTTCCACTTATATCCAAACATCTGAGATTAGTTAGCCTTTCCAAGTTGAAAGGCAATTCAGTAAGGTAAGAACAATTTGTCAGCAGCAAAGTCTGCAAATTGTTCAAAGAACCTACAGAGTCTGGTAACTTGGAGATGGATGTTGAAGAGAGGTCTAGATATCTTAAATGTATCAAATTACCAATTGCATCCAGAATAACTGTCAAATTGCGGCAGTTAGAGAGGGAAAGTTCCCTCAAACTTGTTAGTTTTGAAAGTAAGCCACTTAAAGCCTCATCGTTTAAGCATCTAGACCATGATAACACTTGTGATGGGAGAAAGGTGCGCAGATTTTCGCATATGGCCATAATATTCTCTAAATCATCGAATTTCACCTTGGAATATGACATGTGACGAGTTTTTTTTGACATGGCATGTGTCTTTACACCCTCTAATCTGAAGGTGAATTCTCCAGAGACAAAATTCGGCCAGGTCACCCATAAGGTCATGAATAAAGAAGCACTTTTTACTTGATTGCTGAAAGAATGACCTAGATGCCAGGTCATTGAAGTATTCTTTACCAACTTCTTCCGTTCTCCTATTTCTATTGGAATGTTGCAGAAGCAGAAGATCTTCCGCCATCCATAAGCGCACAAGTTCATTCCGTTTAAATTGATAATTCTTTGGAAACATGGAACAATAGGCGAAGCATCGCTTTAGATGTGATGGAAGAGGGTGATAGCTCAATATAAGAGCATGAAGAACATTGCTCCTAGCATCTGGAAAATCCCATATATCACTTTTCAATACCTTTTCCCATTCACTTTCATCCCTTTTAGAGCGCAAGAGACCCCTTAGAGCTTTAGCTGTCAATGGTAGTCCACTACATTTTTTCACTATATTTCTCCCTGTATCTCTCAACTTAGCAAATGTATCCAATTCTATCCCTTCAAATGCGTGCTCAGCAAATAACAACCAACAATCATCATCTGACAATAATTTTAAATGATAAATTGGAACAGTGAGCATGGTTGATGCAACAATTTCACTTCGTGTTGTGACTATGATCTTACTTCCCTGTGCCCCATATTCAAAAGGACGCCGTAAGATTTCCCATACAATATAGTTCTCGTTCCATACATCATCTAAAACGATGAGAAATCTCTTATTGCTGAGGAACTCCTTGAGCTTAATCTGTTGATGATTAAGATCTGATGCATCACATGTTAGAGGGATTGCCTCTATAATAGTCCTTCTCATTCCAGAGACATCAAATTCTTGGGTAACACAAACCCATACTTTGAGGTCAAAATACTCCTTCACCATGTCGTCATTGTACACAACTTGAGCAAGGGTGGTCTTCCCAACCCTACCCATCCCCACTATGGAGAGGACACAAATCTTAGCAGCACCAGAATCTGAGAGCAGCAGCTTGATAATAGACTGTTTATCATAATCTCTTCCATAAATACCAGACTTTCCAAAGAAGTAGTTTGAAATTTTTTTGAAGGAATTCCACTGACACGTTCCCTCAAACCCAGAACATCTTTTTGTTTCATTAAATTTCTAACTTCTCAATGATCATATTAATCCCATCACTAAACTCACCAAGGGAAGAAAGCGAAAAGCAACTCACCTTGTTATTGATTCCACTCCCTAATTCAGCTTCCATTTTCAGATTTGAAGCTGATATAGTTGTAATGATCTTATCCAAAACGTCTTCGGCTTCAAAGGAATCTTTAAGATCATTCACCCATTCGCGGACATGCAAATCTGCAGCCTGCCTCTCTTCTGCGTGCGTGATTGACCAGAGCATCGACAGATCGCAATGTCATCTTCAACTTATCCAGTTGGAGATTAAGGCCATTGCTCTGTTTTACTCCCTTGATGAAGTCTTGCATCTCACGAGAGGCCATCCTGTCAAATAAAGTATCCACAAAAGCAGTGAGAAAAGCCCCGGCCACCAATTCAGCTGCCATGATCGTAAGTTTTGCCCCCCTCTTTTGCCTTTGCAAATGCAGCAACTGGAAGAAAACTCGGTTGGAATTTTGCAAAAGAGCAAGGAGAGCACCAAGACTTTAGAGTCATAGAGTGGTTCACAACTTTCAGCGGATAAATTATTAAGCTTTCAAATCGTAAGAGTTCTCATTGAAAATTACCTGGTCATTTTCATGCCGGCCAGCCCATGAATTTTAATATGGCAGAGAGAGAGAGAGAGATTGCATTTTCTTGCATGGTCAGAAGAGAGAGAGAGAGAGAGATTGCCTTTGTACAACTATTAAACTATGGAAGTATTCTCTGAAAATTAGGTAAATTATGGCCCTCGAATTGCACGATTAGTTTAGTTTCTAGAACTTGGCAAAACGACCTCAAGCAAATAGACTCATAGGACTTAGTTTTATCTTTCGACTTCAATCAAAAGGAAGACAAAGCAGAGGGCAAAACCATGCTTGTTTGGCCATTTTTGTGCTTTAAGCCTTGAAGGTAACGGCAAATATTTATTGTTAAAAATATATTCCTTCTATTAAAAATATAAAATATTTTTTAAAAAATTAAATATTTAAAAATATAAAAATATTTTTAATCTTTCGAGACGTAATTATTATTTTTTTTTATAAAAATACCTATATTGATAATAACTTTATATTTATTATAGAGTATTTAATAAGAATAAATATAAAAAATAGAATTAATTTAAAAATAGATAATCATTTTATTTGGGTGAGATTTAATTAAAATATATTATATTATTTTGTAAGGGAGAAAGTAGTAGATATTATGAAAAAAGGAAGAATCTCACTTAGGACCTCAAAAGCACAAAAATTTACAATTATGGCTCGATACAATTACAAACTCTGTGCATGCCTGAAGGTCCTCTTTACAACTATTATTGTGTGTGAAAAGACATTATTGCTGTCGCGCCCAATCGGAATTTCTTAAGGAGAAAATTGAATAAAAATATAAATATTTTAGAGTTGTCATCAAAATTTTAAAAGATAATTTTAGAAACCTCTTTAATTGTATGGTCTACATTTAGAGGAAAGAATAAAGGAGTCGATTGTGTATGAGAAACGTGTTAGGCACCTTACAACATCTATTCATATGAATAGTTACCTTAAGTTAACTATATAAATTTAAATGGCCTTAAAAAATTTATTAATTATCCCTAATAAAAAAAATAAGATAAAAAATTAATAAAATTAAAAAGGAGAATTTTATTTATTTATAAGTTAGACTTAACCTAGGATGAGACGCTAAAGCTCACGTACCCTTTTGAGGGATCAAAACTCACATAATTCGAGATAAAAATGCGTGCCTCTTGATTGAGATTTTTTTAAATAAAATATTATTTATTAATTTTTTTATAATATTTTTAATGTTGGTTTGTAGTTTTTATTTAAGAAAATATTTGTGACAAAATCTTGAGGGATTTTCTTGTGAAAAATATTTTAATAAGATTTAAGAAAGCTTCATGCATTCACCTTTTAAAAATTATTTTATTTTATTTTATTTATTTTTAGGAAAATATTTTTTTTACTTAAGGATAAAATGTTTGAAATGTACTTGTGATAATTTATTGTTACATAAGAAAAGTTATTTGATTTACAAATCTATGAGGATTTTGAAAGTCTCACACAACTATCAGTTCAAAACTTTATACACATGATAATTTATTATTATAAAATAAATAAATTAACTTATAAATTTGTGTGGACTCTGAAAGTCTCGAGCAATCAAAGTAATATGAATTGTTTTATAAATGTATATGTTGATAATTTATCCACATGTATATCAAATTAATTAATTTAAAAATTTATGAGGATTCTAGAAGTCTCTCATAACAAATAAGTTAGATAAAATCATATAATGAGGAATTAATAAACAAAGATTTAATATTTAAGTTTTGAAGTTACTTTTCTCAAAATTTCTCATAATGATTCTCGTGTGATATATACTACCAAATTTAATTATGATGCCAAGCTTTCTCATGTATTACAATCAAATGCTATTATAAAATAAAAGAAGTTCTCAGTCAAGTATCATATCAAACTTAAAGAGTGATATGCGTTGGTAGACGTGGTCATAAGCAATGGACTCAAAACCAAGGAGTTAACATTCAAAGCCAATGACATCGTGCTTATGGAGAAAGCAAGAAGACGAATAGAGAATCCAAACTCAAATTTTAGATTGAAAGATAAGAGGCCAAATCCAATAATAATTATATGAATGATCAAGTTTCATTTAAAAAATAAATTAAGAAAAATAGAGGGCGAAAGAATAAAATGTGTAAACATTTATATAGTTTAAGAGAGATGAGCTTACATCTAGTTACTTTATCAATCATATCTCTTGTTCTACTATTTTCTATCATGCTATTTTCCTCTCACAATTTTTTCTTGAGTCTCTCTCTAATTGTTCCATGCTCTATCTTTGATTTCCTTTATATAGATCCATACACTTAGAGTTTTTCTAATATCTCAATCCTATTGTGATCAATACTCATATTTTATATATTCTTATATTATTATTTTTATTATTTAGAGATTGGATATTAATTATTACCTTTCCTATTATTATATCCTAATTATTATATTATTTTGAAATTTTAAAATCTAATATTAAATATTAGAGTATCTTGAAATCTTCAAATAAAATTAAATTATATTATCTTGAAATCTTTAAATTATAATATTATATTATATTCTGATTATTTCAATTATGATATTGTGATCTAGCTTGATTATATTTTTTCATTATCTTTGTATCCGACTTTTTTTAATATTTTGTTCTAAAATATTTTTTATTTTCATTCTTATTAATTTTTCTTTTTTATTTTATTATAAATATTATCTTATTTGTTTATTAAGATTTTAATAAAATACGGTGTTATAATTGGCTTGGGAGTGGGAGAAGACAAACACCGAAAGAGCGATCTGAGCTCACCAGCTCCATGAATTGAAAGTTTCTCAGCTACAGTGGTGAGCATTTCTATGCTTCGGAGCCCTGTGTGTCATTCAACTTCCAAAAGGCTCAACCTTCTTGAAAAAAAGAAGAAGATATAAGTAATTGTGAAAAGAAATAAATAATTAATTGTTAGTTATCATAAATCAACAATATTATAACTATAAATTATAATATTATAACTTGTAAAATATAAGTTGGTTTTGGTTAAATTGTGAAAGAATAAATTCAAAAGTATCTACATGTACATTTATATGCTTTAATTGTCAATATCTTTTTAAAAATTATTCAAATTATATTATATACATGTAAAGGGTCCAACAATTAAGTTGGTTTTAAGTAGTAGTTTTTTTTTAAAAAAAAATTAAGTCTTTTTTTATATTATGTTTAGAATAGTTTGGTTTTCTGATTCAAATTAAGTTATTATTGATTCCAATCGTTGGTCCTACCGTTTGGTTTGGTACATATTTTAAAGCAATCAAATCAACTAGTAAGCATCTAATTTATTATGGTGAAGATTATAATTTCTTTTCAAGTAACGAATAGACATTTAACATATGAATATAAATTTCAAATAATATTTATTTATGACTTTTATTTTGTCATACAATATGTGGGCAATGAAAATTGTACAGTTAGAAGTTCTGAATAAATCACCACTCTGAAGTATTTTGTGGAAAGTCAAATTGCCAATGAAAACGATCCTACTAACCTGAATGACTTAAAGAACGATGCAGAAAATCCAAAAAGTGGTTCATGAAAATGAGCAAAAATCCATTAAGAGCAAATTATAATATCAAAATTTCTTAATGACTCCCACTTACATGGCTCGGTCAGAAAGTAAGATCACAATGGAATATGAAATGAATATTGAATAACTTGTAATAAAGTTGCTATCTTAAAATTTATTTCAATTTTTCGAAATAGATTTCTCAAATTTAATTTTCATTAAATTATTAAAATTTCACAATCATGTTGTTATGATTTTGAAGGAAAATAATATCATAAATTTAATTATGTATGGGCTATATAGTTATGATATTTTAGAGATTTAATTGATAAAAATTAAAGTTATAAACAAAGCAAAAAATCAATTAAGTTATTTTATGTTGTTTTAGACATGCAATTTTAGAAGTTTAATTAATGTTTACAAATTTTAAATTGCTTCTTTTGCATGTCTTACTTGAACCTAGCTAATGAGTTCTCTAGCACTAGGCACCTTTCTTTTCTAGCTTAGCTGGCCTGTTTGATGAGAGTGAAAAAAAGAGTTATCTGTTTTCCATTAAAAAAAAATTAATTGAATTTGTCAAATTTTATCCACCTCACTTTTTTCTTATGCCCGATAATCATTTTAATAATTTTTCTCAATAAATATAGGATATAAAGTAGTTGAATAATGAGTATATATAGTATAGAGAAAAAAATTGATAATTTTCAATAATTATGAGAAATATTTTATAAAAAATATTAAATATTCATATGAACATGTGATAGTGTGATATTACTTATATTAGGTATTAAAAATTATTCATTCCTGTTGCTTATATATTAGATAAGAATATAATATAATTTAAGCCTTTCTTTGGTAAACATAATTTTGGCCTTTTATTCAAATCCAAATGACCAAATCCAAATTTTAATTTTATATTTATGATTTTGTTTTAGGCCGAGCGGCCAGGTTCGAGAACATACCTTATTGGAAGTCGGAGTTTTCCCAGAGCAGCGAGGCCTGTAGTCTTGACTCCTGAACCGAAATATCATCCTTGTCCTTCGTCATTAATCTACTTCAGGTGAGTTTCCGGTGACATTTTCTGCAGTCGTGCGGCTATATTCTGTTATCTCTGTTTTTCCCCCTTCGTGCTCGATTGCTTGTTTATTATTTCCCCCCCCCCCTTTATTGGTGCATTTGATATGTTTCTATGATTTATTCTGTTAAAGGTCCCACAACGGAATTTTGTGCTTTCCCTTAGAAATCTACCATGAAATTTTGTGATTGTGTAAGGTTATGCTTGCAAGTTGAGGGGGGAAAAGGAAGGGAAGGAATCCAACGAAAAGAAAATGGAAAGGAAGAGAACGAAGGGGAAGTGATGGTAAATGATAAGCCTAAACAAACGATGGCTATGGAGGATTTTTGGAAGATAGTTGAGCATCGTTTCATTATTCTTGTGTTTCTTATTATTAACTTAAATTCTTCCATTCCCTTCCCTTTAACTCCATTATTCCTCCATTTAAAATTGTACACTCTGGTAGAAGTTGGTTACCCTGTTTGTAAGAAAGCCCCAAGGACTGAGTTTAGAAAGGAAAATATTTAATGTTAGCGAGGTATTTCTTGGTGGCTGGGGCATCTTCATTGCTCGAGAATAGAGCGTTTGAACGTACCAGCAAGTAAGCTGTGGTTTCTGATTTGGACCCCCCCCCTAAAAGGAGAAGTAAATTCAATTGGGTAAATGACGTTTTTTTTTTAATGTTGATAGTGATTGGGTTGATCGCCAATGCCATCCAGTTATTGAGACTTCAATGAATCAGTGGTAACTTGATAAATTTCAGAGTTGAGGCTACCGACATCCATGTCTCCTCTGTTTGGAACTTCTCGCTGTCTTTCCCTTCCCCCCTTCTTCAGCCTGTCTTGGGAAAGCCAACACATTCTGGAAGGATCATGTGCCAATGACTTTCTCCTTCTAGTGTATCATTAATATTTACTTTTAACCCTGGCAATTGGGCAAATGTTGCAAATAAGACGCATACAATATTCATTTATTAGTTTATTCAGATACTTTTTTTTTTCCTTTTTAATATTATGGGAGTGCAGAAAATAAATGTATATTATCTACATTGGAATCTTTGGCTGACTTGGGTTGGTTGAAAGAGCTATTTTTGGGCTATTGTTGTCTTATCTTTGCATCCTTCGCTTAGTTGTGATATAACAATAAACGCTTGTGTTTCACTTTTTCTGTTTCAGAGGAATTCTATAGTTTTAAATTATGCTTATTAAAATGTCAGATTATCATGCCTCCATTAAATTTTCTTGTAGAGTCATTTGGGAAGTCGTATATCTGGGATGTGACTTATATTCTTAATGGCTTGTTTATGGATAAGGGGACTTTACTCCTTTTTTTTTTTTGGGGGGGGGTTTTGGTGGGGGAGATCATTCTGTTGTCACCCAGAGCTTATTCCATTTTCATCTAATTTGTTTAGCTAGTATTTATCCTAATTGTTTACTTGGCCATTCCATTTATTTGTCAGGTTGGATCACTGTATACATGGGATCTTCATTAGAAGATGAATATGCTGCATTCAGAGAGAAGGTCAAACGAACAGTGTACTTTGACAACCTGTCACCTCAGGTCACTGAATCTGTGTTGAGAACAGCTCTTGATCAGTTTGCAACTGTCAAAAATGTCAAGCTCATTCCCAACTACCTTGAGCCAAGGAATGTGCCACAGTGTGCATTAGTAGAATTGGATTCTGCTAAGAAGGCCAAGGAAGTTATAACAATGATTGTGCAATATCCTTTCATGATATCTGGGATGCCAAGGCCTGTAAGGGCATTCCCTGCAAAAGCAGAAATGTTTGATGATCGCCCTAAAGATCCTCGTAGAAAGTTAACCTGTCGTTGGTTGGAGCCAGGTGATCCTGACTTTGAGGTGGCAGAGGAACTGAAGCAGCTTACACGCAAACATGCTGACGAAGCTGCTTACTTGCACCAAGTAAGTTTTCCCTGTCATACTTATTATGTATTTATCTTAGTAATCAATTGAACTTAAGTCACTACTACTACTACTATTATTATTATTATTTCAGTTTCAAAATAAGAGACAGTGAAAATTCAGGGATGGTTAACCATGGCTAGCCTCAAGAAAACAGAATACCAAAATAGTATTTAATTTTCACTCTGTAGATGTCTAACCTTTGCATTTTCACAGAATACGAAAGCAGAATACCATAGTTAACCATGGCCATCCCCATTTGTAGTAACAGAGGTTGGATAGGATTCTTCTAAATTACTTAACCGCCCCTAAGTTCCTAACAGCTCCCTAATTATCTCCTAATTCCCATGTAACAGATGGAGAGAATATTTTAACATCAAAGAGGTGACTGCAAACTTGTTGCATGTGCTCTTTGAGAATTTGCTAAAAGGAATAACTGCTTTACTTGTTTGATTACTTGGCATATTGTTTTAACCATGCAGAATCATAATACCACTGAGCAAAACAAGACAACAGATAATTTTTTGTGCAACTTCGTTATCATTATATTTTCTTTTAACATTTAGTATTCACTTTAGCTGCTTTGTATTTTTGGGTTGGATATTGGGGTTCAGTGAAAGATACTTTTCTTCTAAATCATATGATGCCAAGGTGCTATTTCTTCTCTTTCAACGAGGAGTATGACCGAAAAGAGCATGCATGTGCGGGAGAAGTTTGTTTTTAGAATGTGAGAAATAGAGAAATATGTCCAAAGATAAATAACATGTCACATTGGTCATCTTTCTTAATTGAAAATACGTCCATTTGGAAGACCGTCTTCTCTTTCTGGATTATAGCTTTTTTAAGATTGTCAATAGGTTTGATATACTCTTAGGGGTTAGCTTATTCTAAAACGTTTTCCTTTCTGTAGTTACAACTACAAGAAGAGGAAAAGCTTTCAATGCACCAGGAAGACACACTTAAAGGGCATTATAAGAAGTACAAGATGATAGAGAGCATTATGGACGGAACTGCCCAACGTCTGGCCCGTCAGTATGATATGCGTGTTAATAATGATTGAAGGCTTTATTTGGACTCGCAATACATGTAAGTAAGATCTTCTTTATTGTTTAAGTTATTTTCTTTGAAAGCTATATTGTCCCCTCCTGTTATCGGGAATAATTTATGCTAGGAACGTCTTTGTATGGGCATATGATCCATGTCAAAGAACAATTTTTAGTCTATTCTTTCCTTTTATGTTAAGAGGAGCGTGATGGTGGATATTTAATTGTTTATGTTGTATTGATATTTGTCATCATTACTTACATTAAAGCCTTATAACTTTATTGCCTTGAAAATTGGGATTACGTTTATTATACGCTTATGGAGAAAACTCTGGCGGTGTTGTCTTGTGCGCCTGTTTGTAATGCCCAAGACCCAAGAAAGAGAGGAAGAGGATGGAATGTAATAAACTCTATGACAAACAACATTATTTGTAATTCGGATGGATATCTACAGTATTTTTGGGACTCATCGGCTAAAGTTAGATGGATGATATTTAAGCCCCAAACAAAAAAAATTATGGCTATTGAGTTAAAAAATTTTGCTGTAAGACGAATTGCAAATAGTCAAAATCAATTTAGTTGCAAGTGTGACTCTTAGTTGTGAATCAGACATTTAATTGTTTTTTGGGTAAATGGCATTTAAGTTTTATATGTTACTTAGTAATTTGCAGCTATCTAATTGATATTTGCAACTCATGTTTTAACAAAATTTATTGGCAAGTAATTGTTATTAAATTGAAGTTTTGGGATTTAATTATCATTTTCTCTAAACCATTGGCGGGACCTTGGATCAGAAGGTGCTATATATTTTTCAAAATTTTAAATTAAAATATAATAATTTTAAATTAAAATTACGTATTTCATAATTTTTCTCTATTTGATTTTTTTTCTTGTGTAATAAATATATAATGATTTTATCGTCGAGGGTATTAAAAGTATTTCCTTAAACATAGTGTGCTAAACTGGTGGTCAAAAAAAAAAAAGGCCCATTTTGTCACGATTTTTAGAACAAAAAATATAGTATTTTTTTTTAACCATTACAATGATAGCAAGTAAATTCATTGTTAACTTTCGAAAAAAGAAAACTAAGAGATAAATATGTTTTTAAGATTAAATATTGTTATGCATATCAACATTAAAAGTCATTATCAAATATTATTGAATTAGTTAAAATGTACATTAAAAGTGATCTAAATTTATAGGAGTGTAAAATTTTATGACTAGAAGAAGCAAAATATAAAAGTTTATATTACTTCCACACAATTTCTTCCAAAATGAGGGGTTGTATGTGCACCCTCTTAAATATTCTCCTCTCGATTTTATTTATAATTATAAAATATTTTTTAAAAGTAATTTTTAATTTAAAATATGAGATATTTTATGATAATTAAATTATTTTTTTAATTTTATCTCTTTTTAATTAACGTGAAAATATTTAATGTAATTATATTATAATTTAAAATTAAGAGTAAAAATAAAATTATATGTAATAATTTTTTAAATACATAAAATGATCAAAAATATTTTATAATAAAAATTAGAGGGAGTACGCAGCTATGCCACTGCCCCAAACTCTTCCAGTGATTGGAAGAATTTGAATGACAAAGTTGGAGGCGTGTTAATATATAATATATGTGATGATCATCTTGTTGCGTCAATTTTTCATTCCATGATGTTGGTCATGTATCAACTCTCGTCTCTCGCCAAGCATCATCTTACGCGTGTTGACTTTCGTTAGCATAGTCCCTAGAAATTTAGGGGGAAAATGGTATCACAAATTTATTTTTTTTTATTTGCGCAATAGTACAATTAAAGTAGTCATTTTTTAATGGATAACGGTCACTAATTTTTAGTATTTATATTTTACTAATAAATAAACAAATTTGTAGAAATTAGTATTTCTATTTTGGTTTTGTCAATGGTCTAATTAAATTAGTCATTTTTACTAATAAGATTAGATCTAATGGAAAGAACTAGTTCTTCAAAACATGATGAATTAATGTTTAAATTTTCATTGAAAGAAGTACGTATATTTAGTGATTAGCTGTGTGTCAAATATAATTATCTTTAATAAGAAGATACTTATTAGTAATAAAAAAAATTACTATTCAATGCATGATAGTCTGTAAAAACAAATATATCATATTTTGTTAAAAATGAAAATGCTAGACAAGTTCTTAAGGGCTAAATAATGATTATCATATTTTGTAATATCTAATTGTCATTTGCATATTTTAAGAATTTTTTTATTATCAATAAGTTTTGAATAATATAATTAATAAAATATATAATCAAATTATTAAAATAAAATAAAAAAATAAAAATATTTAAATTTATTTCTACATAAAAATACATTTTTAAAATATTGATTTTTTTATTTTTTATAAATGAGTATTGTAATAGTAAATGATTATTAACTTAATTATTAAAATAACAACAATAAAAACTAATCTCCTACTGTCAATTAAAGCCATAGCTAAAGAACTATAAAAGCAAAAAAAGAAAATGTTATGACTTACTCCTTATAATCCTATTTATAAGGTAAATAGAATTTTTTTATCCTATTTATAAGTTATATTATTAAATTTTTATGATAAATTTTTTCTTTTATCCTTCATTAAATGTTGGAGAGAAAAAATATGTTATTAAATTATGTATATTTAATAATGATAAAGTTGAGAACTTATTAAATTTTTAAATAAATTTAATAAATTTTAAATTTTTTTATTTAAATAAAACATGTTAAAAATACTTTATAACTAAGCCAAAGGAGTACAATCCTATGTCTTTGCTTGGTAACAGTACTTCTGAAAAGTCAAAGTGTTGACGCAGCAGAGCAAATATGAGTGCGCGCGCTTGTGAAATAATTTCTTTCTTTCTTTCTTTTTTTTTAATAAAAAAACATTCTTCTGGGAAGAGAGTGAAAATTTTTTTCTCTCTTTTTTTTACAGGTAACATAGCTTTCATCGACGAGGATTCGATGCTGGTAAGGAATAGAGGTAAGATCGAATAGTAAACTTAAAATGGTTAATAACCCATTTTCAGTTTTTTCATGCAAAAGTGAACTCGCAAACCCGCTGGAGAACTCACGATTTCACAGCTAATTGCGATCCTGAGCAATTCTCCTGCAAGTTTGCAGATTACCGTTTTTAAGTAAGTGTTAAACATAAATGATAATATTGTGAAGTCATACGATTTTACGTGTCAAAACTTATAAGCAAGTCTAGTACAAGATATTCTGAGGGGGGAAGCTTTTAAGGAACTACGCAGTATCTTCAATATGTTAGAAGTCTTGCTCTTTTAATATTATCCATGTCAAGTGCATTTGCTTCCCTTAGAGATGAATTTAAAGAGAACTTAGTTGAAAAACATGAAAAGAGAAATGAATTCCAAGGTTTGCATGAATCCGTGCATTCTCTGTCCACAACTGATGCTCTTGCGTTGTTTAATGAAGATGTCAAGGTGAAAGAAGTTTCAGATCCAAGTGAACATGTAGAGGTCATCCAGGGAAAAGAAAAAAAAAAAAAAACAGATTTGAAGCTAACGTCAGATTATGCTCTCGTCTGGGAGACTGGGAAGTCACCTTGGACAACTTAAATCTCTGATCGTAAATGAGCGCAAGGCTAGAATCAGGATATATGTTATTTTACTCTTTCAATGGCCCCAACTCCAGATATGACAAGTTAAAGGCAGAAACAGAGGACAGCATTTTGAGAGAGAATACTTAAAGTGCTGTTCCTATCAGTCATGCCCATTAAAGTGGCATGTGTGATGCAAATAACGTGAAAGCTTTAGAATGAGTTATGATTTTCAATCAAACGGTCACCAATTCGTTTTTTGTTGAAGCTCTTTTGTCTTTTTGTTTTAGAAAAGTGTTGCTCAAAGCTTTTCTTTTTGCTATAAAATTGCAGATAACTGTCAGAAATTGGCTGTCTTGATACTCTGTCTTTTGCTCATCATAAAGATGGCACTTGAAGTATCTTAACTTTTCATCTTGACTTGCATTCCAATCGGTTTAACAGATTCCATAACTTTTCATCTTAATGGTTATAAAGGGAATGCAATAGAAGAATGAGGAAATGTATCTGTCTTTACCTCAGAAACGCCCGTCGGCTTCAGGCTTGGATATTTCTTGCATGGGAAGAGGCTGAACCTTTTTTCGTATGGGTTGTACTTTGGATATTGGCATTACTGTTTCAAAAGCTTCAACCAGCAGTGCAACCTTACTTTTCCTCACTGGAGCAAGTTCGGTGACTGCTTGCCTAAGTGCATGATCAAGCATCCATTGCTCCGCACTTTTACTTTCATCCATCATCTTATGTTTGAGATTAACCTTTTCTCTTTCTGGATTTGGGATCAAAGACAAAAAGTCTGGTTTTCGCTGGTTGAACTTCCTCATTTGCTCATCATCCTTGACAGTTATCTCATGCTTCATTTCTCCTCTCCAGTTTCTGCTTGCTTTCTTCTCTTCACTACCTGAGCAGCTTGTGCCCTGGAACTTATTACCTTTACCTTTCAATAGAATTTGTGTCACTTGGCTAATGCTTCCATCATCATTCTCTGGACTTAAGTCTCTGCCTTCATTGGTCTCATCAATCTTGTGTAACTCACTTATCTCATGACCTTGACTTCCATAACCATTACTTTCAACTTGTTGTTTAGCAAAGTCTTGATACATTTCTGTATTCTCCATCTCCAGATTCCTGCTACCTTTATCTGTTGCTCTTTCAACCTGATTTGGTTTACATAGTTCTTCAGAAGCGTTATAGATTTGGTCACCCAGTGACATAGGTGTACCATCTTTAAGAAACATTTGCTTCTGTCCAACATTAAGTACATTTGTGACCCAATTGACATCATTATCCAGAGTTGGTTCATTTTTTCCACCATTGTCTTTTGCTTTTATCAAATCCTGAAATACTTCCTCTGTTAGAGAAGAACATTGAAACTCTGTACTTTTAGATGAGGCTTCCAGGTGTAAAATGGTGTCCTGAGGTTTTTCTTCAAAACAAGAGCATTCTTGTATATTGGTTTCTTGGGGTGTTTCTTCAACAAAGTATCTTATCTCTTCGAGCTTTGAGGTGCTAAGAATTTTTTCTGACTTTACAGATGCCTCAAGTAAACTCTCTGATAAAGACTCAAACTTTAACTCAGTTTCCTCTTCTATCAAGGCAGCTGAAACAAAACTCTCTTCAAGCTTTGAGGTGAAAAATTGTTTCTCCTTCCACTCTGTGTCAGTAGCTTCAAAAACACAACCATCTATTTCATTGCTGCCCAACAGTTCCCAATCATTAAACCTAGTCTCTCTGCAGCAGATTTCCTTACCTGTATCTTCATGAGAACAGCTAGGTGGGTGGTTTTCATTTGCAGATTCTTCATTTTGTTCTTGAAGAAAGCTTTGCATGGTATCTACCTTAGTTACAGTATCACCATAGTATTTCTGGAATTATTCCTCGAAATCTGACATATTTGTTGTAACCTGCTTGATATAATCCTCTCTTGCAGCCAAGCTATTCTCCTTAATCATGAACTTGATAACTTCTTGAGCCTGAAGCTCTTCAGAAGATTCTAGTTTTCTTGTTTCATGTCCATGAGCTGTTGCTGTTGGTTTTGCTTCATGATCTTTTACATTAGCATAGATTTCAATAAAACCTACTTCTGCATCATCACATGCAGAATTGTCATTGATAACAATCTGCTCAATATCAGAAACTTTTGTCTTAAAGGGCACCTTCAATCTTTGAAGCCTTGGTTCTTCCTGCTTCATGGTCTTCAGGGCCTTGAAAATTCTTCTCCTTTCCGACAAGAAGCTCTTCAGCGGAGGCAAAGGAGTACAATGATGACCATTAAAAGAGCAAAATGTATATTGGCAAACCTTAACTGAAGTTCTCTCTGACTCAGTAACCTGAGGATTAGGCATGAGGCACTTAGGAGACACAGAGTTCTTCAAAGTTGAAAGACAGGTTGTTCTCTGTGCTTTCATATCTGCATGCAGAGCTATACTGGAGGATTTTCTTGAGGACTTGAAACTTGGATTCTGTGTTAAAGTGTTTAGTAACTTCAAACTTGATGGTCTTGTCAAAGTTTTTGCAGGTTGCTTGCCAGGAACAAGGCTGGCTTTCCGATTATCAGAAAACTTTGGCTGTTGATTCTTATCATCATAATCAGATTGGCCATTTGGAAGGCTTGCTGGGGAAAGCTCCTTCTTTGCACCTGAGCTGCTGGTGGGCTTCATGCAAGGGGTGACCTATCTGTTCTCATCAATGGTTGCTGCTTCTGTGGGGATTTGGCAGTTACTGTAACATGAGAAGGTGATGGCTTTCTGGATTTAGAAAAGCTTCGTCTTGAAGGTGATGATCGGAAAGCTTCTAAATCAGAAAGCTGAATTGATCTTGGCTTATTCATATCCGCTCCACTGGCTATGCCATCTTGGTGTGCCAAGCTCTTATCGAATTCAACATTATCAGCGTGGATTAAGACCTTGCTCGGCACCTTTCTCTGCATCATATTCAAGACAGGCCCACAAGATGAACGAGTGACGAGCTGGAATCAAAACTCTTCCCCCTTTACTGTGGATTTCAAGCAAAGGAAGAATTGAAAACATTTTGTGCTCGACTTTTCTCATCTGAAAGACTGCATGGAAAGAAGAGGAGGAAAACTTGAAGCCCAAGAACCAGAAAGATTCCCCGCTCTTGATTTGGATGATCTGTTGGTTTGCAGTAGGTTCTCATTTTGTTTGTTTTGAACTGTTTGTCTGCCCTGCAGATGATGAAATTTAAACAAGGCTTGGCGAAGTTTGATGCTGATTCTTAATATTAACAAGGAATATTATTTGATAGACTTAACTTTATAAAATATGATCAGATTGGGGGATTTGGTTTGTGAACCTTTTTTCAATTATGGATCCAGGCCTAACTTTGACTTGGAACAGGTAAATTTTTATAGTTTTTTGACTCGATGCATCCTTTATTTAATAAAATACAAAAATTGAATTGTATTAGGTTAAAATTTAGGGACTAAATCAATAATTAAAATAAAATTTGAGAATTAAAAATTATATTATCCCTTAAATTAACCATAAACAGAAATGTTAACATTATTAAATGCAAGTTTGATTGAAACATACTACTTTTATTTTAAATTATAAGACACTTTTAAAAAAGATTTGGTATCCCAAAATATAATACATATTGAAAAGATTAATATTTTATTAAATAGAGTTATTTCAAATTACCCTTTCTTTATGTAATTTTCATCCTTCCCTTTTTTTAATATATTAAATGAAAGGTATTTTTAAAAGTTTATAATTTTATTTTTAAAAAATAAATTATTAAATATATTTAATAAAATTTATTAATATATAAAAATTTACGTAAAAGTATTTTATACTGTAGGACAGAGAGGGAATGTGGTGTTTTGACATATTAATTTCGGGTTACCTGAATCTACTAAAGTGATGTTGATGTTAGCGTTTGGGCAATTGTTGGTACGATATATTATTCCCAATAGACTTGTTTATATTTAAAAACATTAAATTGTTGCTGATTTGATTCCCCAGCGCATCCATCATCAAATAATAAATATTATCAGCCTCCTCATGATTTGGATTGGAGAGCACGTTGTGGCAATTTGTAGGCGCATGGATTGGTATGGATTTGATTTATGGTGATTGGGATTTTGATGACACCCCAATCAATTAAAATTTTTATACTGTCTCAATTCATAACATTTTTTTAAATGAAGTATATCAATAAAATTTATTAAATATATTATACTTTATGATTTTATTTTTAAAATATAAATATAAATTTTTAAAAATGTCTTTCATTTAAGATAAATTTATTTATGAAACATTAAATGGAGAGAACAAATATAAAGAGGAGGGAATGATAATATTAAAAACAAGTACTCTCTCTGTTAAAAAATATAAGATTTTTTAATTGAATCTCACCCCAATAAATAGTTATCTACTTTTTGACTAACTCTATCTTTTCATATTTATTCCTATTAAACATTCTAAAATAAATATAAAGTAATTATCAATAGGGACACTTAAAAAAGATAATAATTACACTTCAAAAAATAAAAATGTCTTACATTTTTAAACATCCAACCCCTTAAAAAATGCCTTATATTTTTGAACAAAGGAGTATAATTAATGAAATTTTATTTTATCAAAATATTTTATTTTAAGATACCGAATCATTTCTAAAATTGTCTTGTAACCAGGACAAAAAGGTATATAGATTGATAAAGGTGATTTTTTTTAACAAAAAATAATTATTAGAAGAGAAGTTAAACAAGTCCAATATGTTGAAGAACAAAATATTGTCAACAACTAGTTATCCTAATAGTAGCATTACTTTCTCTCTTTGGAAGAAATCTTGGATCCGTACCTAGTGTTACATATTTAGGTGCATGAGTGGGTGTGCAAGTCTCCCTTTACTATGAGAAATGATTATATTGGGGGGGGGGGGGGAATTAAAAAAAAAAAAAAAACACCACACACACACAACAAAACATTCAATGTCACTGAAAGTAAAGCTAGAAATGTTACACTATTAGGCTCTATCAACTCTTATCAACGCAATCTAGTTAGTTCAAGAAAATAGCCTCAACTGTTTTTCCTTTCTCTTCAATTCTTGGGTAATGGTCTCAATAGAATAAAGGATCCTGATAGAATAGTAGTTGAATGATCAAATCAGGTTAATGAATATGCATAAAGGATTCCGATTAGTTAATGGCTAGGATTGTTTACTTTCTAGTTTGGAAAATAATTGTGGTGGTTAGGGGATAGTGGTTAGGACACACACACATATATATATAACTTAACTTTGGCACCAGTGCAAAAGAAAAAGCTACAAATCCCCAGGGTTTGAATTTGAGACTCAAGAATAAGCTAATTTAATTGCCTCGACAATTAAAGAAAGTGTCTGTGAGTTCATAATAACATATTATTTGTACACTAATTGAGCAATTCATGAATTAAAACGTCTTCTATTGCGAAATGTTATGGACAGGACATTCATGTGCAACAGTTGGTGCCTAATGTTGTGCTAGATCATAAAGAATTGTGGAACATTTACTTTAAAAATTTGTATCTAACTTCATATCAACATCAATAAGAAAAAGGGCGATGCTGTCCTTAGTTTAATTTTGAAACTGTAGGTCCGAGTGAGTCCTGTAAATTCAGCAAACGATACAATTTATTAAGGTGAATAAGCATTGGTTGTATGTAGTAGTAGTAACAATGGATGTACATAGATGCAATAGGAAATACATGAAGTGGAGTGTGTATAAAGACCAATCCTAAATTGTAGGCTGCTGCAAAATTGGGAATAAGAAAATACAGAAGATGCAAGTTCTTGCGTATTCTGTCAATGATTGCTGTAATCTGTAATAATGCAATTACTAGGAAACTTTGAAGCAAAACCATATTACAAAGCAATAGGGAAATCTAGTGAAGAAGGATGGAAGATGGAGAGTTGAGACTAGCTTGAATTTCCTCTCTCTCTCTCTCTTCTCACTAGATTTTCGTTCTAAACACTAGTGATAGTTTAGATTTGGGTAAGATTAGTAGTGATTTACATTGGGTATGAAGAAACGAAAGCAAACAGGTGGGATCCACTTCTACTTTTGAGCTTGAAACAAGTGAGTCATGCTTCTCTCTCTTGCAACATTAGCATGGCTACTTTGTGAATGTAAGAGATTCGGAGTTGAGATATTGTTAGACATATGAGACGAAAATAATCATATCTATTAAGTCCTACCATCACAGCACTAATATAAACAAAATATACAATCTAGTGTATACCATACCCATTAAATCGTACCATCATAGCATTAATGATGTAATGACCCAAAAAAATTAAATATTCTTAAAATAAACAATAAATTAACCTAGTGAGTAAAAAATACACATTAAAACAAAATGTATAGGAATAAAGATAATAATGTTCCGAGAATGATCAATGAAGCAACTGATTGGGTAGCAAAACACGGTTTAAGGGCTTTGCTTGGCTTCTACCAAGTGCTGGCAGGTTCCTGAAGAACTTGCAAAGATTCTGAATAAGGATGCAATAATACCACTGGTTATATAGGCTAGTTGGCTTTTTGGTTTCGTTTTGTTATAAAAATAATAATAACAAGATTGCTTATTTCATATTTATATTTAAAATTATAGGTTAAAAGTAAAAAAAATAAAGAGAAGAGAATGTCTAATATATTAGAGAATGTATTTTTATCTTCCATTCAATCTTGGTTCAAATCTTAGTCTGGCCTATTAATTTAGTATTTTCCCTTATTTCTATGATTTAAAAAAATTATGTAAAATTAAATTACTTAAATTTTCCTACCTCTAATTTTTTGTCAATGCAAAATAAATGAATGAATAAATAAATAAAGTAAAAATCAAAACAAAACAAAACCCTCCCATCCTCTCTAAATCATCGGCCAATATTTATAGGAGAGGGAATTGAAAAAAAATATATATATATATCACGCCACTTTCCTCTGCCTCTCTCGAATCTTCTTCTTCTTCCTTCTCCACACAATTCCTCTGCTCTTTTTGTGTCTGTCACTATGGTGTGTGTGAGTTTGATCTTCAGCTTTTCTTTCTCTCCCTCAATCGTCCATTGTCATGTGTGGTGGTGTGGGATAAGTTTTCTTCTCTTCCCCTGCTGCTGAACGTCTCAAAACAGGGGAGGTCTAAAGCATTTGGCCATCGAAAAATTTGAAGGAAAAGGAGCTAAAATAGATAGGTACTTTTACAATATTTTGTAGTTGCTTCTTTGTTGAATGATTGAGAACTAAATTTTATTTTTTTTTTTTCCTTCTCTTTCTAAGTTGATACAAGATAACAAATAGGGTGTGATTGAAGTTATTGTGAAATCTCGTTGATGCATAAAAGTTTATTGGGTACTGTGAGCTATGAAACACATTTATTTGGTTGGTTGTTGACGCATGTTGGGTATCTGATGAAAAGTGCACAAGGGATTGTAGCTGAAAATGAATGGTTAAATACTAGAGGAGAATATTGGCTAGATTATATTACATGAGTCATCTATTATTTGTGTTGGTGTGAAAGGAAAATGATAAACATTACCCATAAAGGTTTTGCATGAACTAGTGATTTAGAGTCAAGCATTTTAAATGTATTATGAGATGGATGCAAGCACTTACAGATGTTTTAATGGTTAGGAGATATTTTTTTTTTACGTTGATTGCTAAACACAAAAAATAAGGTTATTCAATATCTTTTACAAAAGGAGAGAACTACAAGCTAAATGAATGAAGTGGTAATTGTAAGTTAGCTGGGGATTGAATTTGTAGAAAATGATTTTCCCATTCTTACACGATCTTCTTTGATGCTTGAAAGTTGTTGGGAGGCATAACTATTCTAGAGCTTGCTTTTATGAGTAAATGTATGAAATTGCTTGAAAGAAACTAAAATTTTTTGTGAAAGTTGGTTGTTAGTTATAATAGTTGCAAGGTGACTCTATTACCGCTAAGAATAAAGAAAAGTTATAAGAGTTAAAAGGATAAATTTACACATAAAATAATTAGTCAGGAATACCCAATATCATGAAATGAGAAAAAGGACATAAATATCTATGACATTACATGATTGCGTACAGAAGTGATCAAACCGTTAACTTTGCTCTAGCAACATTAGTTTTTGATGTTAAATGCTGACTGTGCATGCTATGTGTTAGTCTTTACTGATGTGAACTAAAAAAAGGACAAAAATTCTTACGAAGTGATAGCTAGGAGCATCTAGTAATGTAAAGTAAAAAAAAAAGATAAAAATACACATAACGTTACAAGAGTTGATGCAAAAGTAATCAATTCATCAAATCTCTTAAATGTTGACTGCTTAGCTGACACATAAATAGAAGCTGACCATTTTTTTGTTGATGTAAACAAAAAATTTTTCAGGTGAATTTCTAAGGAGGTTGATCGATCATCTTATAAGTACCCATAATATTACTTTATTAGGTGCAATAATGATCAATCTGTCAAAACCTGAGATTCAACACAGTGAGATAGGTTGTACATAACAAAAATTGAGACTAAGCACGCCTTCTACGCCACCCTACCTAATGAATAATGTCACAACATTAAGTAATTTCATTCATGATAGGTTTAAAATTTTTAAATGGTTTTCGTCATTGTTGCAAAGAAGCGAGCAGTTTAATTGATATTTAGTTAAAATGATATTTTTTTTCACATAATATTCATATAATGACTGATTAACCCCAATAGAATTTCACTTAGGAATATTTTTTTGTACACATCAGTAAAAAAATAGTCACCTTTTACTTAGGTGTAAGCTAGACGATTGACATTTAAGAGATTTGATTAATTGATCATTTTTGCACCAACTCTAAAAATATTATGGGTATTTTTTTCTTTTTTATTTTATACTACTGGATGCCCCTAGCTGATCACTTTTTGGAAATTTTTGCTCTTTTTTTAGTCCACATTAGCAAACACTAACACGTGGCATACACAGTTAGCATTTAACACCAGAAAACTAACATCGTTAGGGAAAAATTAATAGTTTGGTCATTTTTTAACCCACTCATTTAACATTACGAGTGTTTATATCCTCTTTCTCACTTTATGATATTAGGTGCTTCTAGCTGACTACTTTATGTGCAGATTTGCCCTTTAACTCAAGTTATAATAGGGTCATGATAAAGGAAAAAGATTGCGTTAAAATTTAACAATAATTTTTTTCTCTTTGGGCGCTTAGATAGCTATTATGGTGAGCTTTTGTAAGGTTGGCTGGAGGGTAAAATACATTTATTTGGGAATGTCTTAAGCAAGTAAATAACATTCTTCAATAAATAAAAGTGATAGTCTTTCTCTTATTTTATTTTACATTTATGCTAAATAAATTTTCCTATTATACCTTTATAATTAAGTCGATTTAACATATATAGATATCTTATTTATTCTTTGAATTTATTAATGCAATTATTTTCATGGTATTTTATTTTCCTCAAAGTATTATACATGCATAGACTAGATAAATTACTAATGAAAAAATTATTTGCACTTCACAAATTAAAGGATAATTTGAACTATAAGGATTTTTAGAATCCATGCATGCCGAAAATGTTTTATAGGATTGTATACAAAAAACTAGTTGCTAATGATAATTTGGTTAGCTTCTTGGTGCACCATGATACAGTTAATTAATAGAGTGCATTAGAAGTGCTAGCCCCGTGTATTGACCAATACACGTGGAATGGAGAATGTAGTTTTATAGATATAATTCATGCCTGTTATTTATGAGTTTTATGCTTGATCTTAGTTTTCATGGCTTCTTGCCACGCCGAATATGTTATTTACCTTCATGAACTGTGTCTATGCCTATTATTTGTTCTGTTTGGATCCCAAAAAGGATAAGTTTTTAAAATATATATTCATTTTTATATAAGTAAACTTTGTTGAGTTTATTTATAAATTTAAATTTTTATGCCTATGATTTTTATACTTCCTTGTATTCTTAATTATTCAAATATAAGAATGATGATTTGTTATATAGTTGTTTTTCTTTTACTATTGAATGCCAATTTACAAAGATTCAAAGTTTAATATATCAATTGTTATTGTTTACTTATGTTCATGATTGGTATCACACCTTGATACTAAGAGTATGACTGACATAAAATCTGAGATAACTCACATTCCATAAGCCTTAAATAACTAAAAAATTAATTCAAAAGAATGATATAATTTATGTCTAAATTTTTAACCATTCTATAGAAATTTTGACAAAATTTTCCTTGTAACTAAGACCATCTAAAATTTCTATAATAATGAAACCTGTCAGCCAAACTAAAAAGGAGTTTAGATCCACACTAGCAAATTTCGCAATAATAAAATAAGTTATAACCTAACCATGATATACTTGAAGTGCTACATTTACATTTCATAATACAAAATACATTTATATTAAAAAACCAACGCATGCTTTCATAGTTTACAAAAATAATGGCGTCCCTTAGTGATCAGCAAGAAATGCAGGGTCAATTTTAACATTTAAGACCAAAGAAAATTTTTCTGGTGAGTAACGTCTCAATTTACAATTGAAGAAAATAATGAAAAGCAAATCGATGAGTCAATTATAAATTTGCTAAAATAATCAATTAAAAATAATATAAACCAAAAATACATAAATACAAATGAAATTATTAAAAATTTAAATTTCAAATTACTAAATTTCTACACATACTTAAGCATCTTGAAATATATATATATATATATATATTACTCAATAAAAAATTCACTTATAGTAAAAAAAAAAAAGAAGATCAAATTTAAAGAAAATAGTTTCAAAATTCTTTCTTTCATGAGACTTAATCAAAAAGATTAATAAGCATTAACATATAGTCCACGAGGATAAATAATGTATTCGACATGGAAAAAAGCTACAAAAAATAATCGCAAGCATAAAGTTTACAAAAAAACAAGCGTGCATTATACGAAATTACATCCTCCATTTCATGTGAGCTCGCGAACACACAGGGCTAGTTCCTCTAATGTACCTTGCTATTTAGGTGTATTATAGCACATCAAGAGCTAATGAAACTATTGTTAGCATTCAGCGTTTCGAACTCAGTCCTTCTAATTAAATCAAGCATGCATGGAATTGAAACATTCATTCAAAACTATTTCTTTCAAATATAATATTTAGTTATCAAATTTTCTTTTCAATTTTTTTCCGTGCATGAATTACTGTGTTTATTATTGTCATGTAAATTATAAAATTTAAACCACATAAATGCTTAGAACAAATAATCAGTTAATAATGTATCGAATCTAAATATTCTTTAACAATAGAATAATTCTTAATGAAAATAAAGCAAATTATATGATGAACCAATTAATATAAAAGTAAGGTCATAAAAATAGGATTAACAAGAATATTTATAGGACTAATATAAAATTTAAATAAAAAAATTTTATAAATACTTTATAAAAAATTATTTGAAACACCACTCACTCACATGAGAGTTTTCACTAAAAAAAAAAGCCCGAATCTCTCAAATTCCTATTTATACTCCAATTTCCAAATAATCTAGTACATAAACCCACAATTCTTATGTCATTGTAATTTCTCTTTAGGTGATACATGATTATAATAAGTAGTTTAACCTTACAACTCTTATAAGTAAAGACATATACTTTAAATAATATTTACAATTCCTTCAAACCCTAATATAAAAATTAAATAGTTTTATCTCTAACAAATTTCATGTTCAAATACCTTAAAAACAAGATACAAATTAAATTATAAGCAACTCCATATTTCTCAAGATGACAACAATTTAATTTTTCAAACAATATTAAAGATAATATCATAATCAATTATGTTGCAAGTACTTTTGAGTTTATTATATTATTTGATAAATTTCAATTCATCCTTGTACATCTGGTAACCTATTCTAAATCATTGATTATGATAAATTACATTAACTCTTTTTATCATTTTTTAAATTTAATAAAATATTATAATAATAATTTTATTTAATTATTTTTCCTATGTTAATAGCTTAAGATTCCAACCGATAACTCAAGCCAATATTCACACATACACCTCTAAGATATAAAAATAAAAATTTAACAACATTCATTCACCGAATTTTTCATTCAAGCATTTTTATAAACACCTAAAGAGCACTGATCACTAATCCAACAATGAACTAGCCTCCAAACATCTCAAACATAAAATTTTACAGTCAAATTTTATCTTGGCAACCATGAATTAATACATAGAATCAATTACACAGCCACCCAATTCAACATTTTTCTCCCAAAAATCACGACAGAACAGGCATGAGAGGAACGGAGAACTTCGGCCACCAAAAGGAAAAGGAACAAAACTTACATATATACGCACGCACTTCCAGCAGCTGAAGGAAAGATGAAAGCTGAAAGCACACACGCACCTCCACATTCGGCCACAAAAATAGAGAAGAGGCAAAGAACAGCGAACACCACAGTGAAAATACAACAACCCAGTACTTCCAGCTATGAAATAGTGACAGCAAAAGAAGAAATCGAAGGGGAAGAGAGGAAATGGAAAGAACAAGAGGAGTAGCTGACGGTGAAGACCAAGGGAAACTTGACGGAAAAGTGAAGAGAAAAAAGGGGGGGGGGGGGATGGGATAGCTGAATGCTCTGCTTTTGCACACGAGATATAAAATCTGGAGAAAAGAAAAATGGAAAAGTTACAAGAAAGGCACAAGAAAATTATAAGGAAGTGTAGAAGAAAAATTACAAGAGAGGGTACAAATTTTTTTTATAATTTTAAAAAAATAAAACTAAATTTTGTTTAGTAAAATTTGAACTCTTTATTTCAAAAAATTTACTATATAAGTTTCACTTAAACTATCACTCTTTACTTGCTCTACAAAACTAATTTAAATACAATATTAATTGGGACATTTTTTTAATTTAAAATTTAAGATCATGACAATTGGAAATGTTATCTATTAGTAAATATTTTTGGCTTTAGATAATATAGTTGAACCTACACTTCAGGTAGACTCCCAAAAAATATTTATGCGGGTAGCCAAATAAAAATCCTTCAATTGCACATTGTCTCTCCATAATATGGTTGTAAAGCCCTAAAACCCATTGTAATTGTTTTGTATCTTAGCTAGTTATGCTCCACGTACTTTATAGATAAGATCCTCACCTAGTTATATTTTGGGGTTATACTGTTATAATAATTTCAAGATGTTAAATTTTTTCAGGGAGCAATCTATTGAAACTTTTATGGAGAAAGAAAAGGCTAAACATTTTTTTTATTATATAAGATCTCATTTGGTAGCAAATCTTCTACATGGTTTGTGAATCTATAGATTAGCAAGTGTTTCTAGTTGTTAAATACTTTAGGGATATGGGTTATCTCATGTTCCGAGCCGTTCACACCTATGGGCTGTGACAAATGTAGTTTGATATTGGCTCCTGCCTTGCTGCAACTCAGCTATCTCACATTTGGTAATTGATAGAGCTTTCATTTCCCGGAGTACATTAGGCCTGATTCATCTTTTGCCCCTTCTCTAGCTGCGTTTCAAAGAAGTAATATGGACCTAATGCACAAAGAAGACATGTTAGAATATAAGACAATTAAAAGATCATTGTCTTTTGCACTTGGTTCCATTATTTTGATATAGTAGAACAGAAGTTAAGTGGGCTTTGGAAAACACATTCTAATAAAATAAATAGCTTCATTGCCATCATGAAAAGCAACTTCTAATTGCAATTTGGTTTAGTTCCCATGAACAAAAATGAAACCATGTGTCTCACAATCCTCAGTTTTGTTGTAATTAGGATCAAATCTGTCATGAATTGATATATGAAGATACATGAGAGCATGGATAATCAGGTAAGAAAATAGAAGCCACCTTTAAGTTGAGTGATTCCCTTGGAAATATGGGTTAGCCTATCGCAGCGCGCCAGCATGCTTTACCCAACACTGCTAGACATAGGAAACATTCTGATCATAAAATAGGTTGGAAAATAAGAATAGGTACCTGATATGTGCTAGACAAATATGACTTGATGAATATGTCTTTTAGGTTATGGTTGTATCATGGGAGATAATGGAGAGAAGGAAACTAAGGTTCATTGAAACATTTCTCATGTTTGGAAACTATAAATACAAGAAGGGTCACTTATGTTGAGGGGACAGTATGACAGCCTTGCCTGGAAAGAAAGCTGGATAAGTCTCTGCAAATGCCATTGAAACTTTTTCTTTGGGATTTCAAATTGCAGGGAACCAAAATGCAGTAATTTCATTTCATGGATTCATATTTATTTTGTTTTCATAACTAATATGCAAACTTTAAGCTATCAAAATTTCTCAAATTTTGCAATGGCATCCAATCCAAGGTCTTCAAAAATTAAATTATCACCATTCTCTGTCTCCCTAGAACTGTATGTAATAGTTCAGTTGAACAATCAAATGCCTCAACATAATGCAAAGGAAATTTTTAAAGTATCAAATATAGTTTAACAATACTCCAAAACAAAGAGAGAATCATTATTAGTGATTCTCACCATTGACTAATATCCCAAATAAAACAATAGTGACTGCAAACTGTCATACAAATATTTCACTGGCACATTAAAATAAATATAATTATTCGTAAGTCTACAATACAGATACAAGCAAGAAAAATCATATGCTCAGCACACTAATGGTGTCCTGTATTGATATTGGACTTTTCACTTTGATATGAAATCTTCCATAAGAATATAATAAAAAACAATGAAATATACAACTAAAAAATGGGGGGGGGGGGGAGACAGAAAATACGAACATTATGTGCAGCTTTGTGAAGCTGGACAATTTGGGCTTGATACAACCATCAAATGCTCACTTTCCTACAGCTAATTGTTTATCGTGTGATCATCTAAAAAGCTTGCATGTCAAGAATTCTTCCTGATAATATGTTTGAAGTACAACTGGTGATCAGCAAGTGAAAGATCAATGTAACCTGTATAAAAACATACTGTACGTTCCAGAGTTTAGTCTATCCAGGCACCAGAGTTTGGAGTTGTTGCAGCACCATATATGATTGTCCCCAGCTTGGGACCCTTCAACGGCAATGAAAAATGACTCAACTGTCAAATTCATCAACAATGAAAACCAAGTGATTTTGAGCCATTTTCATCAAACAAAGCTCATGAAGACTGATCTCCAATGAAATTCAGGGTATGTTCACTTAAGTGTAGGTCAAAGCCCGATCTTTCTGAAAACAGCTGCTACTGTGTTACTTGATATGTGAATGATTGATGACAAAGTTTTAGTCTTTCAAAAAAGGCAAATGGTCAACAATATTAAACTATCATGGAATATGATTATGTTTAACATCAGTCAAGTGGTGTCAATCACTCTTATTATTTGATCCATGAATATAGAATGTTTAACCGCATCATAATAGCTAAACTTATTAAACGATAGAGTTAAAAGGAGTTTGGGTAACAAAAATTCATACAATGTAATGATTAGATGTCTTTTACAATATTAAATTGTCCTTAGATTGAAATTAGAATAGTATGTTTCATTTGCTTTAGTAAAACAAAAAATATCATATTTTAACCAAACAAGTTAATACGCATAATAAGTAAATGGTATTATTTCTTTTCATTCAATTTTTAAATAGTTTTTCTCTACTGCATGATATGGGACAAACTGATGCCTAATTACAATTGTATGACAGGCGAAAATGGTGTTGCTTGTGCTAAGAGATTAAATTCATTTTCTGCACCTTCTTTTATTGGTGTGTACAAAAATGAAACTTTCTATTAAATATGTGAATCAATAAACAAATCAATGCAAAACTAAAAGACAAATTTTTATGATTTGGAATTAAAAGAAAATAAGTATGACTATTGAAAAGTTGAGTTAAATTGAGTTTGGCTGACAAAATTCATGATATGTGACGACTAAATGCCTTTTGTAAATATTAATTTGTTCCTAAATTGAACCTAGAATAAGAATCGCATTTCTTATTAAACTTTTACATAAAGAGAGGACACATTTTGACTTAGGAAGATTATATGCAGGATAAGTAAATGATATTACTTCTTTTTATCAAATTCTAAAATGAAGCTTTTCTCTTAGTGTATGCTTTAGAACCAACTAATGCCTAATTATAGACTTGAGAATGACAGACAAAACTGAAGTTACTCATGGTACTAAAAGATGTTCATTATGAGTAGTTTCAGGCTTTCGGCTATTATTGATATATACAAACATGAAATCAATATATCAAAAGAAGAAGAAGAAGAAGAAGAAGAAGAAGAAATAACCATAGTTAGTCACATTAGGCCCATCTAAATTTTATGATTTGAAATAGAGAGAGAAGTAGCTATATACCTAATGAGTGAAGCGATAGTACGAAAGCTGAAGCGCTCATCATTCAGAAGCTCACTTAAAATTATCATATCATGGTCAATGTCAAGAAGAGGGATGTGAGAAATCTTTGCCCAGCATTTGCCTTTCTGTTTTTGGATCTTCTTTTCCAGCAAGGGACAGCCTGTAATTTTTAGCATCGTAAGGGAACTCGGCAAACCATCCTTCGGAAAGTATTGGAGCTTAGGACAGTCAAGAAAAGCCAAGCAGTCCAAAGAGGACAAGTGGCAAAGACTTTTGTTTTCGAGCGATCTAAGATTTGCACAGTTATAGAACCAAATGGTAACAAGAGAAGGTGGAAATAGTATTGTATTAGGAAGAAACTCATCATCTACATTTCCAATCCCCAAGTGTTGTAGAGAAGTAAGTCTACTCAAATGCCATCCCATTTGAGAGGCCATGAGTTTTGGGCATCCTGAAACGTCAAGATGCTGAAGATTTAATGGCAAACCTCCAATTGGAAATGATTCCACTTGTGGGCAGCATTTTATTGATAGATGTGCAAGGGAGGGAAAGACGATGTGCATCTTCTCTGGCAGCAACTTCAAATTCTTCAATCCTTCAATGTAACAAAATGCTAGCTCTGGGGCCGAAAAGCCACCTTCAGGAAATAATACAAAATTAGGACACCTTTGTATCCACAATCTTGTAAGCGAGTAATGTTGTCCCGCTGAAACAGATAGTGTTTGAAGATTATTACATTCAATCAACAGTAATGACTGAAGATTGGGGAATAAACATAGTGGAAAACACTTCAGAGAGTCACATCTTCCCCTTATATCCAATTCAAAAATGAAGTTATGACAGTAGTGCAATGGGAATTCCAGGAGGGGACAATCAGAAAACTTCAACTCTTCAATGGTGGAATTGAAAATAGTATTCTCAATTTTTTCAACTGATAATATTTCTGCAAAGCCTCCACAAATCTCGAGAACTTTTAAAGTTGATGGAAGACATTCCATCTGCTCCTTTCCACAATGTCTTAAAACCAACTTATGAAGAGATGGAGCCCACGGAATGGAAGCCACAAGCTTCTCGCAATTGCAAATAACCAGCATCGTTAGAGAAGGAAGTTGTTGAGGAAGATGCCCTTTCAGTTTGGGACAATTTTCAATACGCAACTCCTGAAGATTCGAGAAAGTACTGGACATATTTTCACATTTCCATTCCTCCCAACCCTTCATATCCCCAAAGCTCAAGATTTCTAGGGATGTAGAGGTTTCATGAAATTCTAGACCAATGGTCAGTACACTGTGACACCCCATAATTGACAATGACTTGAGAGATGGGAAAAGGCCTAGTGATGGCAAGGACATACAGAATATGCAATTCCTCAGCTCTAGGGATACTATGTTGGACAGTGAATGGTCTGCAAACCAACTAGGAAATCCGATACCACCATAGTTGCTAATTGATAGCTTTTTTAAATTTTGATGAGGTTGGAGTTTCTCTAGGACATCCTGGTCAATTTGCAATTTTCCATGGTCCATACTCCACTCTAATGTTAACTCCTTAAGGTATATCTTGTTTCTCAAATTAACTGCCAAAGCATCAGCAGGAGAAACTACATTCTGCAACTCTAAGATGGAAACTGATCCACAAAGATTAAATTCTTTCAACTGTTTAATGTTTGACTGTCCACATTTGTCCACAATAAATGATGACAGCACCTGAAGATTTTTCAATTTACTCAATTGCTTTGGCATCTCTCTCACTCCAGTCTCACGAAAATCAAGATAACGTAGATTCATGAGTTTATGCACATCCATGGGCAACTTTTTCAAATCACGACAACGCCACAACTTTAACGTTTGTAAATGAAAAAGTTGGCAGATTGAATCAGGCAATTTCTTTATCTTGGTTCCTGATAAGTCTAAAAAACGTAGATGTTTGAGGTTTCCTATGGAATCGGGCAAACTCACAATGTGATGATAACCAGACAGAGATAAAACACGCATGCATCTGAACTTGGATACTAAATCGAGAATAACCTTGAAAGATATGCAATGAAAGAAAGAGGTATGGCTTGTACTTCTATGTCCTTGCATAGATAGAGGCAAAAACGTTCGCAATTTACTAGCCTGGCACATAACCGCAAATCGATTGGAGTATTCATAGAAAGTTCTTAAATATGAAACATGCCGGGTCATTTTTGTCAAATTATTTTCTTCATCCACCAGCAACAGATGACAAAATTTTCCATATTCAACTTTTGCCAAATCATTAATAAGGTCATGCATGACAAAGCGTGTTTCATCTTCCATTGATTGTTGAAAAAATGACCTCGACAATAAGTCATGGAAGAATTGTTCTCCTACTTCTCTTGCAACTTTGCTTTGATGGGCACATGGTAGAAAATTTTCTGCCATCCATAACTGAATTAAACGCTCCTTGTCAAAGTCATAATCTTTAGGGAATATAGAGCAATAAGCAAAGCATCTCTTGAGAAAAGAAGGGAGATAATGATAACTCAATCTCAAAGAAGGGAGAATTTTGCTATCGCTTTTCTCCTCCCATATCTCACTTTTTAAAATGCCAGTCCATTGCACAAGAGAAAACTCCGCGTACAAGAGACTCCCAATGGCTTTCAAAGCTAAAGGCAACCCTTTGCACTTTTTACTTATTCTCCTACCGATTTCTTCAAGGTCAAAGCTTGAAGAAAGAGCATCTCTACCATGGAATGCGTATTCACTTAACAACAGCCAACTATCTCCTTCTGATAAGGGCTTCAATGAATGTATTTTAGAAGAACGCATGGTTGAAACAACCTTTGCACTGCGAGTGGTTAGAAGAATTTTACTTCCAGGAGCCCCATGATTGAAAGGTGATTGCAAGGCCTCCCATAGCATAAAATTTTCATTCCACACGTCGTCTAAAACAATGAGAAATCTCTTCTGACTCAACCGCTGCTTCAATTTAATTTGAAGCACGTTTAAATCGTTGGTATCATCCCTAGACATAGTGATTGCCTCATAAATTGTTCTTGTTACTCTTAGGACATCAAACTCATCAGAGACGCACACCCAAGCTTTGAGGTCAAATTCATCTATAGCCATCCTATCATTATAAACGAGCTGGGCAAGGGTAGTTTTACCCAATCCACCCATACCCACTATAGAAATGATAGATAGCTGGGTGTTATCCTTGTCTGATAGCAACCATTCAATGATCGTTTTTTTGTCATCATCTCTACCATATGTTCTAGTTTCATCCACCAAAGATGTTGTTGGCAATCTATGAGGTACATAACTTGTTAATACAGCAGCACCGTTACCACGTTCATTCAATCTTAATATATCCTTTTGAAGTGCAAGATATTCAAGATTTTCAAGGACATTTTTAATCCTGGATTCAATTTCCTTCTCAAATGAATATACAGAAGCACCGAAGAAGTTTCGTACCTTGGCCGTAACACTGGTTTTACTCTGATGTTCGGCTTCCACCTTGCGCTTGAGCACCTCATAATCAATCTCGTCCAAGACATCCTCAGCATCGAACACAGCATCTTTGACCATATAAATCCAGTCCTTCACCTTTGTATTAGTGATCTGCTTTTGCTCTGCATCATCAACCACAGCATCGATGGATAACAGCACGATCTTCAACTTATTCAGTAATGTCTCGTTCAATTTTCGGTTCTTGAAGAAGTCGAGGACACCACGAGAAGCCAGCCTGTCAAAAGCCACTTGAAGAAAAGCAGAGAGAAAAGCACCACCAACCAAAGCTGCGGCCATGGATGAAGCCGTTGTGCGTCTGCAAAAGATGGAATCAACCGAAGATGAAGATGTAAAACGAACAAGAAGAGAGTGAAATGCTTAGCGAGAAACGTATTACAAGGAGTGAGATGTATAGCAGGAACGTGTAGAAAATGCTTTCGGGTCGCCTCCACTTCGCCATCATCGCGCTCGAAACTGTCCCACATTGCAGGAGACTTCCGAGTGCGTTTTTTTTTTTTTTTTTTAATATCCCGGGAGACTTTGAAACTTGAATCACTACCTGCCTTGATTGGTTATGTCGTTATGATTTGATTTTTTTTTTTTTTTTGCCAGAGTCGTTATGATTTGATGACTAGTTCAATTTTTTACTTTTTTAAGTATCCAATTTCATTTCATAATTTGTTTATGCTATGCTTGGCAAGAGAGAAAAGTGAGAGAAAAAAATAGGAGGAAAATAGCATATAAAACCTACATGTTTTTACCTTCAACTTTTTTTCTAAATATGAGGAGATTTTGAAAAGAAAATTTCACCTCCAAATTTACCCATCAATTTTCTTGTTGCCACCCCTTGCTTCCTTTTATTTTTATTATAATATTTATAATGTAGTTACATTTTGATCATGAATTTTTGTTAAATAAGCTATATATTTAATTTTTAGACTAATTAAACATGCTAATTCTAAATTTTTATGTTAATTTTTAGTTAAGTACCTTAATTTTGGTTGTAGTGCAAGTCATGATGTAGTTTTGAACATTTTTTAAAAGAATATTGGGCACTTTATATTAATAAATGAACCACTTTTTTTCTTGAACTATTACTCTAAGGAGCAAAAGACTTCTTCCATTAATCAGTCATTAACTTTATTATTTTCTGTTGATATCACATATGTGTGGGCCTATGTAAAGTAATGGGTAAGACATTAACATGTCCTTTAGTGGTAATTTGTTCCTAAAGTCTTGTTAAAATAAAATTTAATAAATATTGTTAAAATATTAAATATTTTCATATTTAATAATTTAAATATTATTATTTATAAATATTTATCCAAAATTTATAAATTATTTTTAAATAATTTATAAATAATCTCTGAAATAGTACCCATATCATTATGCCTTTCATATAGGTGGAAACTTACTTATATTTTTAATATTAGTTAAGTTTCTTAAACTTTTGTCCTTCTCTATAATTTTTTTCAGTTAATTAACAATCTTCTTCCAAAATATTACACCATGAAAATTTAATACTCTCCTCTATACATTGTAGTGTTAGGGGTAAAATCAAACACAAGCAAATCAACAATATGCCAACAAAAATAATTATTTAAAAGATATTGCCTATCCCATTAATATGCTACAGAAAATGTTACTTAATAACAGAATAATGAAGAGATAATGAGAAAAATTCTTTCCGTTAATTTGAAGATTCATTCTCTTCATTTTTAACACAAAATTACCAAAATATCAAAAATATTAAAATATTAAACTGACTTGTATAATATTTTAAAAAATAATTTATAAATTTTGAATGAATATTTATAAATAATAATATTTAAGTTATTAAATAAAATATTTAATACTTAATAATATTTATTAAATTTTATTTTAACAAGACTTCAGGGTCCTCAGCACTTTTAGAAAAAAATTTTAAAATGCCCAGCCCTCCTAGAAAAAGAGTTCAGGGCCAAATTAGTATTATATGATATGGTCAAAGTCTTATCTGTCACTATGTGTGAGCCCCATGCACATGCTATATTAGCAAAAAAAAAAATTAATGGCTAATTAACAGAAGAGGTTTTGTTGCTCCTAAAAAAAATTCAGGGATAAAATTGTCCCACTAATCAGTACAAGGTTCCCAATGCTTCTAAAAAAAAAGTTCAGAAGTAAAAATACACTTTAACCCCTTTTTTTATTACTATTGTTGTTCTCTTCATTGACATTATGAAGTGCCATAGCCGATGGCTAAGTTAGGACCCAGAGTCAATAGAGATGAGTTTTTATTTTTTTATTTCTTTAAAGAAGGGTTATGCATACAATCATATGTAGATACATATTAATATTAAAACTATATAAAAGTTAATATATTTGAAAAAATATTTAAATTATGTGAAAGAAATACATGTATGAAGTTAAATAAATTATATACTTTCACTTTTATCAAAAATTTTATAAATTATTATTGTAAAAATTTGATTTATAAGCCTCAAATACTTGTTATTACTTACTTAATGTTGAGCACATCTCAAGCATTTGCTTGTAGTTTAAAATAAGTATGTACATGATCTTCATATTAATGTTCTTCTACCAAGTTATTTTTTTTTCTATTCAAATTCAAATTATAAAAAAAATTAAAAACCATTGATCCTAAATCATGTTTAATTAATTAGAAATATATAACGTCCCACATCAAGAATTTAAAATCATATCTTAAAGAACATATCTACACACAATAACAACACAAGTTTCTATGTCTCAAAATCTTTTTAATATATAAAATAAAAATATAAAACAATAGTATTTTTGCTGTTATATATTCCCTTCATTAAAAAATATAAGATATTTTTAACTAAATCTCACTCTCCAATAAAATAGTTATTTACTTTCAAACTAACCCTATCTTTACATATTTACCTCTATTAAACACCCTATAATAAATATAAAGTCATTTATTAATAGGGATATTTTTTAAAAAAAGTAATAATTACACTTTGAAAGATTAAAAATGTTTTATATATTTAAATATTCAATCTTTTAAAATATATTTTTTATTTTTAAATGAAGGGAGTATACTTTTATCTTCTTGTTGGGGCTCTCCTTGATTGAAATCCACGTTCTAATTAAATTTCTAGCCCAATCTCAACATGTCACTTATGCACCCACGTTGCTCCTCTCTCCATACTTTAATCTGCCAACTGTATTAGTGGGGTGCTTGGGGCATGCCAAAGTATGAGGAGGGTCATAGGGTAAATCAGGTTAAAATATTCATAGAGTTTTATATATGAGGGGAGACATTTGTCCATCCTAGAGCCAATAATTTTTATAGGTTAGTCCCAGTTCGCTCAAAAAAATTTAGAGTTAGGTTTAGGAAAAAATAATTTTTTTATGTTTGGACCTATTCGGCTATCTTGAATAGGCTTGAAAAAAATTTGAGCCAAGCCCAAATTGGGTTGGGATTTAGCTCGAATACCTAAATAAAAAATTATAATTTTAAAAAATTTAAAATATAATAAATATTAATTAATTATTTAAGTTTTAGATTATTTTATATTAAAATATCATATATTTCAGTCCTATATATCATTTAAATATTAAAAAAATATATTTTATATTTTTTACAAAATAAAATAATTAATTTTAAAATACAAAATTAATTAAAAATAAAATTCAAGTATTCGAACCACTTGAAGGAATTTGGGTCAAGTTGGGCTATTTAAACTTTTTAGGAAATAGGGCCTGTTTGAGTCGGGCCAAATAGACTTGCCCTGCCCGAATTTTCAACTCTAGCCTATCCTCATACTAATGTAGCTTCCCCAATGGCTATAGCTATCCTTCTATTCAAGACAATTTATTGTCAAGCATTAAATGTAGCATCTCTAATAGTGGGATTTAAACTTAATTTGTCATATTATGAGAGACTGATCTCTTACGCCAACGCTGTTGGTATTATGAAGTGTTTTTTATTTTGTTTTTCTTTTTTTACTAATTTTTATATGACTGTCTAATTAGGTCATATGTTATCAAATTCAATTAGGATAACATCCTAAGAATGTTTTTGTTAATGCTTAATGGAGATTCCTTTTACACCCTATACATTTGAATTATACGTTTTTGTTGCAAACATATATATGAACTTTTTAAGCTAAAATTTAAGTGAAATATTTTTTTTCTTAAAACACATGTTGATCTATATTATAAAAGTTGTTAAAAATCTGCTTTTTGAAAATTTTATTTATTTTATATCATCAATGAAATACAAGTTTAATACTAATTGCATTAAATAAATTTTTAAGTATAAAGACATTGTGAATTTTTTATTATAAAATAATGCAGTTGTAATCCATCACCAACTCCTAGAGAAAGATATATTAGTGTATCTCAATTTTAAAGAAAGAATATAATTTTTTTTTAAAATAGGGAAACACAATAGAGTATAGAAATCTGTTAAGAAAAATAAAACATGTATTTATGAACAAATTAGTCAAACTCATGGTGGCTCAAAAAGCCTCTTTTCTAGAACCAAGGGTGACAAAATTTATAAATAAAAAAAAGTGAAGGTTGAAAAATAACATCACATTCTAATGTTTTCATGGCTGCATGTCAATTTCTCGTTGAATTTTCGTTTCTTGAAGAGATTCAGAGTATTAAGAGAAGCCAACCTGTAAAAAGCTACCTGAAGAAAAGCTGAGATAAAAGCACCACCAACCAAGGCTCCCGCCATGGCCGAAGTTGCTGTGCGTCTGCAGAAATGGAGGTCAGCCGACGATCCTGTAAAGTAGTGTGATGTGAGAGGGATGATAAAGCTCGTTCCGTTCGTAAAGCTTTCGCGACGAAGACACTTGATTTGACTCCAAGTCTCATAATTTTTTTTTTCTATAAACCAATACAAAAAAAAATATATAAGGATTGAAAGTATATTAAATTTTAGAGAGAGTTTCATATAAAGGCTTGAGAAGGAACGTATCTTCTGTGGCTTTCAAAGAATGCAAAATTTCAATTCAATCTCGCAAGACTAAACTGAAAATAAGTGGAATGAGAAAAAGATGAAATTGCCCTCAATGCTAATATTAAAGAATAGGTTACTAATGATAAAAGAAAGAAATGCCCATGAAATGGAAAATCTCAACATGCAGTTTTGTATTTCTCAATCTTCACTTTAAGGAGCAACGGCTGCTAATGTTTATCACCCATAAGCCTATGAGATTCATTCCCCACCTCTTGTTTAATTATGCATTCTCTACATAATGTGATTCTTCCTTCTCCATGCAATATGATTGGAAACAAAACAAGATGGGCATCAACTAGGGATGGTTTTAGAGGACAGCTTGGCAGCAATCAATCGTATGGAGATAAAATATTATCATTTATAGTAATCAAAGGCACTTTCTCTTAAATGCATATGGTATGAGTATGGGTTTAGTAAGGGGAATGAGCATAGGATGAATCAATCAATTGGCATGAAAGAGTTGGTGCTTTTAGTTGATAAAAAGTCTCAACATTAAAATTTAGAAATACAAAGCTGTTGGGTATTAGAATTTTTATCATTGTATGATGAGTTGTTAAAAGCTTTATGTTATGTTGTTAATTTTACAATTCTTATTGTAAATTTATGAGTTCATCCATTATTGATAAAGTAATTAAAGTTAATATTTTAATGACATACATGTTGGGATTACTTATGGCTTCGAGTTCTGTAAAGCAACTATTTTGCATCTTCCATACAAGGGGTGAAATTGTCAAGAATTTAGAAGAAAATACAAGATATGAGGGTGAGATTATAAGTGAAAGATTGATAAGACAAGGAATGACCTATGAAGAACTAAAAAGTATGATCTTAACATAGGTGTGGCCTGAAAGTAGTGGTAGTATCATAAAGTACAAAGTAAGTTATATTATATCTTATTGTATCACTCTTGGTGGTGGTGCAATAACCTGGAAGTCTGCAAAACAGACAATTAATACAAAATCCTCAAGAGATTCTGAGTTCATTGCCATGGAGCTAGCTGGGACTGAGGCTGAGTGGTTGAAAAACTTCTTAGCAAGTATTCCAATAGGTGAAAAGCCCACACCATCAGTGTCTTTACATTGTGATAGCCAATCTACAATAACAACGGCTAAAATAAGACCTTTAATGGCAAAAGTAGACATATTCGATTGAGACATAATATTATAAGGCAGCTGCTCAAAAATGGGGTCATCTCAATCGATTATGTGAAATCAGAGTTAAATCTGGTAGATCTATTAACTAAATCCCTAGGGAAGAAATTTATTATTGAAACGTCGAGGGGAATGGGACTTAAGCTTGTTTGAAATTAACGGTAATGGCAACCCAACCTTTATGATTGGAGATTCCATGAAGAAGGTTCAATGGGTAAGAACAAGTCATTTGTTAGTTCTGCTAGCATTGAATTTTGTCCCTTCTTATAGCTTGAGAAAGTGCTAGAATGCATTGAACGGAGGCTGAGTGAAAGCTCTTAATGTTTTCATAGTCCTTACGGATGGTGTATTCATTGCAGATACATTTGATAAAAATACCTATACAAATGTAGAGTGGGGCCGCTCCTATGAGATCGTGGCAAAATTTATAGAGCATTTGTTAAAACCAGGCGTGCGCATGGCCGATAACGTGCAAAATCATCATTAACAGCAAAGACTGTGGGGGTATAATCCGATTAATAAGACCTCTAGCACATGCTCAAGATCTATTAGTTCAACCGACTTTCTTGTGTGCTAAGTTTTATTAGTCTAGGTTTGATTTAAGTCGACAGACACCAAATTCAAAGTGATTATCCTCCGTGTGAATAACTCAAACGAACATAGATCCTTTTGACACATGTGGGGGATTGTTGTATGTGTGTCAAAAGTGTGTGTGTGTCAAAGTCCCACATTGACTAAAAGAAAGACTCTCCTAATGTATATATACTAAGGAATGAAGTGGGCTAGTAAAATGAGCTTGGAGGAGAAGTGGCCTCGCGCACATGAGACAAGCCAACTCAGGGCAATCGCAGTTGAAATCAGCCGATTCTCCCCCACGCGAGTTCAAGAGATAATGGGTTCCTTTTACCGGATTATTTTTACAAAATAAATAATTATTTTTGCCTTGCCGGAGAAACTCAATTTTTGGCTGTCCGAAATTTAAAATCAAACCAAGAACGTTTTTTGATCATCAACCAAATTAATTTTTTAAACGTTTTGTCTTCCCAACATTTCCAGACAGGAAGTTAAATGCATTTTACGTTTGTGTAACCCCAACGTTTCCAGACAAGCTTTTAAATGATTTTTATGACAGTGTAACCGAGCCTTTAATCTAGTAGTAACCCCCTAAAGTTCATGTCCACCTTCGGGCTATATATAGCCATGTGTGCAGACAAAGCGGTGCAAGCCTCTTGAGTTTTCGGGGTTCTCTCCTCCCTTTGTCAGTTCGTCTGTGCTTACATTTAATCTTCGTTGTTCTGTTCCCTCGTTCCACTGAGGAGGTGCTTGTTTAATCCTAGGACACTGCCAGTCGTCTGAGGGTGTGTCAGAATAGTTCTTAAGGATAGTGTCCTTCCGAGTACGACTCGAGCAATTCGTACCTCGTCATTCGCGTTTTTGCCGGTGCCGCCAACAAATATAAAATGTTTAACCGCATCATAATAACTCTTTTTATCAAATAGTTAAGTTAAAGTGAGTTTGGTTAATGAAAATTCATAATATCTAATGACAAAATGAATTTCACAAATATTAATATTGAAGCTAGAATAAGAATTGTATTTTCATTTGCTTTAAGTAAAATTAGAAAAATGTCATATTTTGACCGAGCAAGATAATATGCATTGTGGTTAACTGATATTATTTCTTTTTCATGAAGTTTTAAAAGGAAGTTCCTCTCAAGTGCATGGCATGAGACTAACTGATGCCTAGTTAGAACTCTTAAGTGTGTGACAGATGAAAAAGGAGGTGTTTGAGTTACTGAAGGATATTCATTTTGTGCAGCTTCTGCCATTATTGATACGTGCAAAAATGAAATGAAAATTTCGAATAAGAAAGTAAATCCATGGGAAAAAAGAGCAAAAATTTCTACGATTTGAAATTCTAGAAAAGCAAAAAGGGGTAGATACCTGATGAGAAACTGGAAAGGATGAAATTGATGTGCTTGTCAATGAGAAGGTCACTTCAATTTACTACATGATGGTCAATCTCAAGTAAAGGGATGTGAGAAATCATTGCCCAATATTTGCTTTTTTGTTTTTGGATCTTCTTTTCGAGCAAGGGACAGCCATAAATATCTAGTCAAATAAGGGAACTGGGCAGACCTTCCTTCGGCAAGTATTGGAGTTTAGGACAGTCAATAAAATGCAAGTGTTTGAGAGAGGACAAGTGGCAAAGACCTTTGTGTTCCAACGTTCTGAGATTTGGGCAATTTGAGAACCAAAGGGAATTAAGAGAAGGGGGTAGTAGTCCTACATCAGGAAGAGACTCGTCGTTTGTATCTCCAATTGCCAAGTGATCTAGAGAAGCAAGACTACTCAAATCCCATCCCATTCAAGTGCCTATGAGTTTCGGGCATCCGCGGATACTAAGTTGCTCAAGATTCGATGGCAAACCTCCCTCAGGTAATGATTCCACTCGTGGGCAGCGTCTTAGTACTAGATGTTTGAGTGAGCAGAAGAGAGTGTGCATCCACTCAGGCAGTGATTTCAAATTCTCCAATTCTTCGAAGAGACAGACAATTAATTTGGGGGCCAAAAACCCTCCTTTGGGAAATGATACAAATTTTGGACACTTCTCTATGTCTAATCTTGCAAGCGAGTGATGGTATCGTTCTGAAATAGATATCATTTCAAGATTATTACAATCCCTCAGCCGCAATATCTGAAGATTGGGAAAAAATCCAGTGGAAAAGACACAAGACAGTCGCATCTTCCTCTTATCTCCATTTCAACAACGAAGTTATGACAGTAGCGCAATGGGAATTTCAGGCGAGGACAATCCCCAAAATTCAACTCCTCAAGGCAGGAATTGGCAATTGCATTCTCAATTTTTTCAATTGATAAGATTTCTGCAAAACATCCAGAAAGCTCAAGAACTTTCAGAGTTGATGGAACACATTCCATCTCCTCCTTTCCGTAATGTCTCAGGACCAATTTATGAAGAGATGAAGCCAACAGAATTGAATCTACAAGTTTCTCACAATTGACAATAACTAGCGTCCTTAGAGAAGGAAGTTGTGGAGGAAGGTGCCCTTTCAATTTGGGACAATTTTCTAGACTTAACTCTTGAATATGAGGGAAACTAAGCGACATATTTTCATACTTCCATTCCTCCCAGGCCTCCATATCTCCAAACCTCAAGATTTCCAGGGAAGTTGTATAAGAGCTATTCCCATGAAATTCTGGACCAATAGCTACTATACTATCAAACCCTACAATTGATAGTGACTTGAGATATGGAAAAAGGCCTAGTGATGGCAAGGAGGAACAGTATTTGCAATTCCTCAGCTCCAGGGACACTATTTTAGACAGTGAAAGATCTACAAACCAGTCCGGAAACCCATCACCACCATAGCTGCTAATTGAGAGCCTTTTCAAGTTTTGATAAGGTTGGAGCTTCTCCAAAACATCCTTATCATTTTGTGATTTTTCATTGTCCATGCTCCATTCTAATCTTAACTCCTCAAGGTATATCTTAGTTTTCAAATTGACTGCTAAAGCATCTACGGGAGAAACTATATTTTGCAACTCTGATATGGAAATCGATCCACAAAGATCAAGTTCTTTTAACTGCTTGATGTTGGTCTCTTCATATTTTCCCACAATAAATGATGACAGCACTTGAAGATTTTTTAATTTGCCTAATTGCTTTGGCATCTCACGCACAGCAGTTTCTCGAAAATCAAGATGACGCAGACTAATGAGTTTGTGTAAATCCATTGGCAACTTTTTCAAATCCCAACAACGCCACAACTTCAATGTCTGCAAATGATAAAGTTGACATACTGAATTAGGCAATATCCTTAGTTTAGTTTCTGATAGGTCCAAATAGCGTAAATGCTTCATATTTCCTATCGAATCAGGCAACTCGACAATGTTGCTAGAATAATCTGAGAGAGATAAAACTCGCATGCACGGAAAGTTCGACAACAAATCATGTATAACCTTTGTAGACATCCAGCGTGCCCAGTTAAAATCTAGCATGGTGAGAGGCAAGAACGTGCGTAATCTATTGGCTTGGTATAAAGCCTCAAATCGTTTTGGAGTTTCATAGATATCTCTCAAATATGAAACATGGCGAGTAAATTTTGATAGATTACTTGCTTCGTCTAACTCCAACCTATGGCAAAATTTGCCATATTCATCCTTTTGCCAAATCATTGACAAGGTCATGCATAACAAAATGCGCTTCATCTCCTGCTGATCGTTGAAAAAAAGATCTTGACAGTAGATCATGGAAGCATTGTTCTCCAATTACCCGTGCATCTTTGCTTTGATGAGCACATGGTAAAAAATTTTCTGCCATCCACAGCTGAATTAGATGGTCCTTGTCAAAGTCATAATCTTTGGGAAATATCGAGCAATAAGAAAAACATCTCTTGAGATAAGAAGGAAGGTAACGATAACTCAATCTCAAACTTGGGAGAATTTTGTTATCACTCTTTTCTTCCCATATCTCACTTTTCAAAATGTCATTCCATTGCTCATGAGATCCTTCCGTGTACAAAAGGCTTCCAATGGCTTTCAAAGCTAAAGGCAATCCTTTGCACTTTTTACAAATTTTTCTACCAATTTCTTCAAGGTCAGAGTTTGGGTGAAGAATATCTCTATCGCGTAATGCATATTTGCTGAATAGCAGCCAACTATCTTTTCCTGGCAAGAGCTTTAACGGAAGTGCTTTAGTTGAATTCATAATTGAAACAACTTTTTCACTGCGGGTAGTCTGAAGAATTTTGCTACCCAAAGCCCATGATTCAAAGGTAATTGCAATGCCTCCCACAGCTCATATCTTCATTCCACACATCGTCTAAAACAAGAAGAAATTTCTTCTGAGTTAACAATTTCATCAATTTGATTTGAAGCATATTTAGATCGGTAGTAATTGTCCTTAGACATAGTGATTGCCTCGTAAATTGTTCTTGTTACCCTGAACACATCAAACTCTTCAGAAACACATACCCAAACTTTGACCTCAAATTCATCCATCACCTTCCTATCATTGTAAACAAGCTGGGCAAGAGTAGATTTACCCAGCCCTCCCATACCCACAATAGAAATGACAGATAATCGACTGTTATCCATATCTGATAGTAACCATTCAATGATCGTTTTTTTTGTCATCACCTCTACCGACCATGGCAGCTTCATCCACCAATGATGTTGTAGGCAACCTATTTGTTATTGAACTCCTCAATCCAGCACCGCTACCACCACGTTGAATCAATTTTAACAAATGCTTTTGAGATGCAAGATGTTCTAGAAGTTCAAGAACGTTTTTCATCCTGGATTCAACTTCCTTCTCAAATGAACTATCAGAAGAACTGAAGAAGTTTCGTACCTTGCCAGTGAGACTGGTTTGGGTCTGAAGTTCAGCTTCCACCTTGCGCTTGGACACTTCGTAATCAATCTCATCTATGACATCCTCAGCCTCAAACACGGCATCTTTGACCATATCAAGCCACTCCTTCACCTTGGGATTAAATATCTGCTTTTGCTCTGCATCATCAACAACAGCTTCGATGGCTAACAGCTCACTCTGAACTTCTTGAGCAGTGTCTCGTTCAATTTTCGTTTCTTGAAGAAACCCCGAACATCAGGAGACGCCAGCCTGTCAAAAACCACTTGAAGAAAAGCAGAGAGAAAAGCACCACCAACCAAAGCTCCTGCCATGGATGAGTTGTTGTCGGGTCTGCAGATATGGAGGTCAACCGAAGGAAATGATTCTACAAAAGGAGATCGAAATGATGTGATGTATTAGGATTAGTTGTAAGGCTTGAAGATTGTGATCATGCCAACTTCAACTTTCACACGAAGACTTCTAATAAAAAGTTTTTTTGTTCCTATTTTTTTGGCCGTGTCCTTTTAACCTTGTTTTTAAATTTTTCAACGTGTTCTTTGATTTGGCTTTGTAAAGTGAATTTAATTTTTTTACATTTTTGCTTTTCTTAAAAATATATATCATTTTTAGTAATAGAAAAATCTATATTTAATAAAAAAAAGTATATATCTATATATAATATTATATACTCCTTGCAATCCTATTTATAATTACTTTCAACATATTTTCATGTAAATCTAAAAAAAAAATATAACTCTTTTAAAAAATTTAATAAATTTATAACTTATTCTTGTTAAATATGTATACTTTACTAACAAAAAAAAATGCATACTTTAATAATATTTTTTATTAGATTTAATGAGGTAAAAAATTATGATAAAAATTAATTACATGCTTTATAATTGTGATAAATAATCTATTTGGATTCCATGCCTATCCCTAGTACTCACACCATGTGTCTGTCTTGACGTGGTGAGAGAAAGTTGTGAGATGTGATCAACAGCTTTAAAAAATTTTGCTCAACCATAGTTATAATACATAAAATATCTCCTCAGCTGTTTTGCCTTCCTCATTAAGTGGTGAGATTAGCCAATGGTGAGAACGTTCTGAATCCAATGAAGGCAAGAGTAACTTAGTTTAGTGCCAAAGATGATAGAGCGAGAAGCAGTTCAACGGGAAAATGAGTTTCAGATTTTGGAGTCAATCTAAACCAGGAGGTGAATATCAAAAAAGCAAGATCAAGAGTTCAAAGCTCGACTAGTTCCAGTACACGTGTTTATTGTATCATCGCTCGATTGGGGTCCTGATCATTGTCTAGGTTCTCATCAATTATCTGATAAGAGTTCAAGTTGTAGCACATTTGGTGTCTAAGTTGGCAGAAAATGGTCCAATTGCTCAAGAGGAGTTTGTGAGAGTGAATTGACCAAACCGCTTACGTATTTCTTTGTTGTATATGTGCTCCCACAGACACAATTCTCAATGATCCCATGCTTCAAGTGGTTAAAGCAGGTATTCATTGATTTGATGTGAATTTGTCATCTGGTGCTCTAAATGCTCACCGTTTCATTAATTGGTCATACTTTTAATGAATTAAGAGTCGTTGATGACGTCTCACGGCTCTTTTCTTCACATATCACGATAGGAAGTGCAAGTACCAATGATAGGCAGGGAATTCAAATCCCTTATCAACCCCATTTTTTGTTTTTATTATTACGTTCTTTGATTTGGCTTTGTGAATTAATTTAACTTTTACATTGTTATCATTTATTTTTATATAAATAAATATCATTTTAGTAATATGAAAATATATAATTTAATAAAATATATATTATTGTACTCTTCGTTCAAAAATATATTGCAATAGTTTATCCGTTTTAATTTATCAGAAAACAACTGTCTTCTCACTGGACACTTCTTAATTAGTGGGGAAACTAATAGCTGCTGTTTGGTCAAATGATTTGGATCAATTTGGAGCTTGATGACATCACATAGATAATTGCATGTTTAATTCATTAAAATTGCTTGAGGACATCAGATTTGATTATATTGGAATACTCCCATAGGAAACTAATAGCTATTTAGTTCCTCTTTTTTTTTTTTTTTCCTTCCTTGGCCAACATTTAGTTCGATGCTTTGGACTTTGGCGTTTGATGATTTCACATTGAAAATTATGTGCAGAATTATAATATTGTGGTAGCCAGCTGGAGATTTAAAAAGAATAATACTTCCTCCCTTAAAAAATATAAGGCATTTTTAATCGAATCTCATCCCTCAATAAAGTAGTTACCTACTTTCAAACTAATCCTATATTTTCATATTTACCTCTATTAAACATTTTATAATAAATATAAAGTCACTATCATTAGGGATACTTTTTGAAAAAAGAGCAATCACCTCAAAAAGCTAAAAATATCTTACATTTTTGAACACCCAACTCCTCAACAAATACCTTATATTTTTAAACGGAGGGAGTACAAGTTATTAAGTTATCGTCATAAAATTTATTCATAATATAAAAAAAGTTTTTAGTGTGTGTTTAATTTTCAGTTTACATTTAGAAAAAAATCATTTGGGATATTCAATTATTTGTTGAATTTGACAAAAGTATACTCCCTCCGTTCAAAAATATAAGGCACTTTTTGATGTGTTAAATGTTCAAAAATATAAGATATTTTTAATTTTTTGAAATATAATTATTACCTTTTTTCTAAAAGTTCCCCTATTGATAATAATTTTATATTTATTGTAGGGTGTTTAATAGGGGTAAATATAAAAAATAGGATTAATTAAAAAGTAGGTAACTACTTTATTGAGAGTGAGATTCAATTAAAAATATTTTATATTTTTAAATGGGGGAGTATCTCAAATATAATTTAAATGTACTTTTGAGATTTACCCAAACAGGTCAATAAATCAACAATAAAAAAAATTCAAGAAAGGAATTTGCATCTCACTGGTTTCATAATTCCTCTGCTTTTGTTTGTAGTTCCCCTTTTTCCTTATGGATCTTTGGTAAATTTTCTTTGATTGTGTTCTATGCTTTGCTATTTGTTAAGTTTATTTAATTTTTCTGTTTATTATATTTTAATTAAGTGTATTTGATTAAAAATATGACAAGTAAATAATTTACTCAAACATATATTTCACTTATAAAATTTATATAGTTATTACATATTTACAAAATGTAGTTCTTATAATTTGATGAAAATATCACAATACTTACATACTAAGTTTGTCCTACATCCACTGTATAATTTAATTATGTTGAGAAAAGTACACAAGTTCACAAAATGGATGTATTATATATTTCTATAAATATTAAGAAAATATTAATACAAATTGTAAAATTGATTTTAAGAAAATTTCATGTTTTCATTCCCCCTATCTTGCAAGATTTTTGGAGTTATTTAAAAAAATTAAAATTTTAAAAATCAGACCAATTATTAAAACAGATGAAATATTAGTTTAAAGATTAATGGCTAAACTATGATTGAATTGTGGTTGAACCGGATATGATACATATATATATAGAGTAATTTTGTACATTAAATTTTACTAAATGATATTTTATGAAATATTTTTGTTTTTTTATGAAATATCATGATATACATTAATAAAACGCTCAAGAATATAACAGTTCTTCATCCTAGCATGTATGCAAGTGATTTTTTTTCGATGAAAGAAAAAAGAAACACAAAAACTAAACTCTAACATCAGACATTAAATTATCAGAGATAAAATCAGGAGGAGATGTAAGGAAAATCACATATCCTATTTGTTTCAAAGCCTCCTTCGCTAACAAATTTGCAATATAGTTGGCTTGCCAGCTGCACTAAGTCAAATCAATAGCCCAGTCTTGTTGTCTCATGCTCTAGATCTCTGAAATGAGGTCATGATCAAGATGTTCCAGTTGTTCATCATTATGCAGTGTCTTGATAACCTCTATGCAATCCGTCTCTATCACTATCCTTCTCCAACCCATGTCCCAAGCTCTCTTAAGTGCTCATATGACTCCCTATAACTCAGCATTCAGACTGCTATCATGGCTAATATGATAAATAAACCCATTCAAGAAACACCCTGTGTGGCCTCTAGTAACACCCACACATCTAGTGATAGCACCATCCAGCCCATTTGCACCATCTGTATTGAATTTAACAACTTCCATTTCCGATGCTCTCTATTGTACTCTATCTCTTTCCATCTTAGTAGATAAGAGTTCAGAATTTGACCAAGACACCAACGCTTGCACTTGAGCCAAAACCTCCAAGACCCCACATTTCTTTCATTGAAAGACTCTCAAGTTCCTACTGATCCATAACTGTTGGTAAAGAATCGCAAACCAAATATCCTATCAATAGCCGTTTAATATGAACCCTTGAGTTAGATTCTAGTCAATCCATTCCATAATATTATTGAAAGAATCCAATATTGCTTTCATCTCCACCAAAACCAGTCTAATCCAACAATCTACTACAAAACTACAATCTCAAAGGACATGCATGATATCCTCCGTATAGTGAGAGCACAAAGACACTTATCATCAACAGATGTACCTCTATTAACACAAAATGAGGTCATAAGTCTACCCTAGCACACAACCAAAGGAAGGTTTTGTTACGTTGGGGAATCGATGCTTTCCACACTCTCCTCCAAATACTCCTTCGCATACTACTAGTATCTGGGCAAAGACTTTGATAAGCTAATTTCACAGTGAATTCACTATTACTAGACCACCTCTATCGCGGCCTATCATCTCTTTTATTACCCCTGATGCGATAAATTTCTCTCAAAATCATATCAGGTAGATACTTCTCAAACTTATCCCTGAGCCAAATACCAGTTGAAGATAAATATTTCTCAACCAAGTCATCAGAAATCTCTTCCTAGACTTGATTGATAGCATAATTTAGGAGAGAATCATGATGTGGCAACCAACTATCTTTTCAGAATTTTATATTATTTCCCTTACCAACCTAACAAGCAATGCCTTTAATAGTGCCAGTCCAAGCATCAACAATGCCTTTCCAAGCACTTGACACATTTCTACGAGCTTCAACCTTTAGGAAAACGGCTTCATCGCACATTCACACTTGTATTTCTCTCTCATAAATTGTACTCACAAAGCATCTCTATGATGAACCAAACTTCATCCCAACTTCATCATGAAAGCTTTATTCTGTCTATAAGCATGTCTCAAACCCAAACCCCTTCATCTTTTCTTATGCACACATACTCGGAAGTCATAAGATGTAACTTTCTCTGTGAGTTAGAGCCTCCCCATATAAATCTCCAACACTTCTTATCAATCTTTTTACAAGTATGAATCGATAGTGGTGTAGATATATGCAAATGTTTTAGATGCAACAAAAATGAATCACCTTAGGCATTTGGAAACCTGTTTAAATTATAAAAAAAAAAAAGTTGGTTACTAAAGGCATATTAAAGCAACATTAAAAAGATTTTCATGAAAGTAAAATATTTGATAAAGAATCTATCCATATGGAGGGGAAAAAACTTAAAGAATTAACTGAAAAAAGAGCAAAGTTTAACCGAAAAAAAAGACAGGAAAAAAAAGTCGTGACTGATGAGCAACAGGAGAACAAGGTCCCACAACGAGAACTAATGCGTGGAGAGAGGGGACATTTCATTATATAAACTAGGGCTGTGCAAAAGTCTCCCAGTCCTGTCTGGTCCAGTCCAACCCGAGATGGTCTCAGTCTTGTTCGGTCTGTATAGTCACTGGTCCTTCAGGACCAAAAGGACTAAAAAGACCAGACTATTTTTTCGGGTTGGACTGGACAAGAGACCAAGCATCCGGACCACTTGGTCCAGTCCAGTCCTATTAATTTTTTATTATAATTATAATTAATTTATTTTTGACAAATGTTTAAAGTGTAATTGATGCTAAGGAGATGATTGCATAAAGATTTATTAAGTTTGTTTCTAAATTGTTATTGTAATATAGTGTTGTTGAATTTTTTGAGTACTGTTTTTATTAAAGTTTATAAATTTAAATAATTTAGACTATAACAAAAATATTTTTTTTCTTATTGTTAGAAATTATTATGGATTTATTATTATTATAAGTATTTTTACTATCTTAATTGAGTTTATTATGTTGGAATGGATTATTGCCTCTCATAGAATAAAAAGAGGGAAAAAAAGCTAAGTGAGTACTGGACTGACAGGACCAGTCTCCCAGTCCTATGGACCAAGTCCAGTCCTGTTAATCTTCGGGTTATCACTGGACAAGACTGGACTACGGGTTGCCTATCCCAGTCTTTTTCATGAAGGAGACCGGACTTCGGGTTAGGGTGAAGTCCAGTGCCGTCCAGTCTTTTGTGCAGCCCTAATATAAACACCGGGGATTTGGTTTTACGTCAGAAAAAAAATCAGTTTGTTAAAAATACAGTTGATAAAAGTTAGTATTTGCAATAAAATTAATGTTTCAATATTTTTTTTAAAGTGAATTTCACAAATTAAAAGTTGTTTGAATTATGTATAGTGAAATGTATTTTTGAATATATAATTATTAAGATATAGATTTATGATAATTTATAATTTTTATTATATAAATGTAATATATTAAAATATTTAAAAATTGTGATAAAAATTCTGAATAATATAAAATTTAATATGTTAAATAATAAAAAATAGAAATTAATATGAAGTTTGATATATTAAAAAAATGTATGAATATTTAATGTTCATTAAAATTAAAAATTTTAAAAGAAACTTTTTTTTAATGGTATTATGTGAAACTAGAAGGAAACAATAGAAGAAATTGAAAAAAAAAAAGAGGAAACTTCTCTTCAAATTTTGAAGTCTGAAACTGCTAACTGTAAAAATAAATTAAGGGTATTATGAACAAAATTTTAAAATATTTTGGAAAACACTTTTAAAAAGCTACCATTTTTTATTTTTAAGAAAGAACATTTAATAGTGGTGTGAAAAGTACACTTAAAATAGATTTTTTTGGAAAAAAAGTCTATAACCAAACAACATTAGAATTTAAATTACATTTTAAAACGACTTTTGAAACGGTGAAAGTGAAAATCAAACGGGCCGTAACGTGGTTAGGAAGAGTTGGATATTAATTGTCTTGAAGCACCCAAAAGATGGCCTGGACATAATTCCTATGAAAGGCCCAAAACTTATAGAAATTATTAAACAGTAAACTTCTGGGCTTTTTACAGTTTATCAGTTTTTGACTGGCTTGTCTGGTCTTTGACTGGCTAGGAGGACTGGTTTAGGTGTGTACTGGACAGGACTAATGGCCTGTTGAGCCGGTTGGCCCAGTCTCGTTTTTAAACCTTGAAAAAAATAATGTCCTCGCTTCTTAACCTAAGTAAGATCTAACGAATACACCAAATGGATGTGACACATACAATAATATAGGACCCCTTAAACATTATTTTAAGGTTCAATTTTTGAAAGTGTGTATGGAAAAATATTGCTTGGGAGATGACAACTTCTTAAATGATGTTCAAATTCATCAAGAGATTAGTCTTATGATTGCAGGATGTGAGGATATTTTGGGCACCCAATTAAAAAAAAAAATCTAATGAATACCACAAGTTGTTATTTCAAAAGTGTTTTCACTTTGACTAGATCTTCTACAAAACACAAAATAATTAAGTAGGCCAATATCATTTTGTTCAGTTCATTTTGTTCATTTGCCAAATTGAATGGCATGAAATCTTATAAAATGAGCTCATTTTATTATTTCGTTTTATTGTTTTCGTTTTAATGTGTCTGAATTATTTGCTTTTAAATAAATTAAAAAAAAGAATGGTATGAATCTTATTTGAGATAAGGTTCCTTTAGTAAAGGTGCAATCAATAAATAACATTTTAGAAATATCAGAGTTATACCATGAGGTATGAAGATTCAAATTTCAAGTATCACGATCTCTACTCATGCAAAATAGGAGCATTTTTATTTTATGCATAGTAAATGATCACAGTACAAGAAGGCAATCGAGTCTCTATTTCCCCTAACTCTGATAAAGCTTATCAAAACTTTTGCAAACCATGCACCAAGGCCTTTGCAGCGTTATGTAAAGGCAAACCTAAGGAAATGATGCTCACAACATCTCTTCAAAGATTCAACTTTCAAAGGAGTCTATGATACAACGCTAATAGAAACGCAGAGAATGTGAAGATATATCAGAGCAGCTTTAAAAGCACATAGTCTTCTTGGTAATCAATGCTTCGTGGGAGTTGTATTTATTAATGAATTTTGAGCAGTTGGAAAGCTCCATAATTTCAGAGCATTAATGGTGCTTGACACTGTCTTCTACCATTTGCATCTTTCTCACTTGAAGCAGAACTTTCGTTTCCTCTTGAGTACATTAGGCCTGACTCGACTCTATTTTGCCCCTTCTCTGGCTGTTTTAATGTAGCAATATGGGCCCAATGCCAAAAAAAAAAAAAAAATCTTAGAATAGAAGACAACTGAAGAAAATGACGTTGTCCTTTTGCATCTGGCTCCTATACTTTCTTTTAATTCAGCATAACAGAGGGCAAGCAAGCCTTGGAAAACACAATTCTAATAAAATAAACAAACTAGGTGGCATCATCAAAACCGTCAATAAATATTAAACCATTTAAGCGAAATAGGGGAACTAGAATGCAATTTGGTTTAATTTCCAAGCTTGGTTCAACAAAATTTTAATCATGGGTTTCACAACTCGCATTTTTATTTTTATTGTAATTTGGACCAAAACTATCATGAATTAATGTATGAAGGCATATGCAAACATGGATGTTCAGATCAGGAGATAGAAATCACCTCTAAGTTGAGTGATTTCCTCTTATTCCTTTCACGTGTAAGTCTATTGAGGTGCACCAGCATACTTCCCCCGATACTGCTAACCGTAGAAAGGGAATATTTCAATTATATATAAAACAAGAAGTAAAAGGGTATGTTTGGAAAGGGAATAATGGAGGAGAAGAGAAGGAAAAGGAAGGCTTCATCAAGACCATTCTCTTCTTTGGAAATCGGAGTTATGAATAAGAAAAGAGTAAACCTTAAGTTTTAAGATGGAAATTTTCCCCAAACAAGGAAAAGGGAACCTATAATATAAACATTATTTCCCTCTAGACAAGAACTATTGCCCATTTTGTAAAGTATAGAAGAGAAAAGAGTAAACCTTCCTTAGACAGCATTGAAGTCCCATGAATTCAATGGACAATGACAAAAGACAAACAGTGTTGTATCTCAATGTTTCCAAAATGAGGTTTACATCAGCGGAGACTCTTATGTTCAGTGGACAATAAAGAGCCTGCTAAAGGAAAAGAAGATGAGTAAGTCTCTGTACAATGCTAATACGATAAAATTAAAACTGTTTCTCTGGAATTTCAAAATGCAAGGAATTAAACCCCTGTAGTTTCAGTTTGAGGATTTATCAGACGAATGCAAATTACTGAGGGGGAAAATTGCATCAAAAATTAAGGTTGCCATAACCCTTTTATAGTACTATAATGATAATGAAGGAGGAGAGTAGGAAATTAAAGGATTCACTGAAACCTTTTTGTTGTTTGGAAACTATAAATAAGGGAAAAAGAGTAGACCTACCTTCCTTTCCATTTGAACAATATGAGGGGTATATCAGAAGAGTCACTTATGTTGAGTAACAGAATGAGAGCCTGCCAAATGAAAGAAAAGGTGAATAAGTCTCTGTTCGCAAATGCCATTACAACATTTTCTTTGGGATTCAAATTGCAAGGAACTAAAATACAGTTTATTTCATTTCATTGGCTCATACTGATTTTGCTTTTATAACTAACTAGTAACCGACCCTGTGCGATGCACGGGCACAAATCGACCATCATTAATATGACGGAAGACATTACAATTTCTCCTCTCCACAATGTCTTTGAACTTGTTTATGAAGAAATGGAGCCCACGGCATTGAAGCCATGAGTTTCTCACAATTGTAAATAACCAGAATCCTCAAAGAAGGAAGCTGTTGAGGAGCGTGCCCTTTTAGTTTGGGACAGTTGTCTATACTCAACTCTTGAAGATGTGGGAAATAACTTGAGATATTTTCACATTTCCATTCCTCCCAACCTTTCATATCTCCAAACCTTAAGATTTCTAGGGATGTAGTATTAGAATTAGTTCCATAAAATTCTGGACCAATTGTTACTATACTAGAAACCCTACAATTGACAATGATTTGAGAGATGGAAGGAGGCCTAGTGATGTCAAGGACATACAATATTTGCAATTCCTCAACTCTAAGGATGCTATGTCGGACAATGAAAGATCTGTAAACCAATTTGGAAACCCGATACCACCAAAATTGCTAATTGATAGCTTTCTTAAGTTCTGATGAGGTTGGAGCATCTCCAGCACATCCTTGTCCTTATGTGACTTTTGATTGTCCATACTCCATTCTAACGTCAATTCCTTAAGATGTACCTTGCTTTTCAAATTGACTGCTAAAGCATCTATGGGAGAAACCACATTCTGCAACTCTGAGATAGAAATCTATCCACAAAGATCATACTTTTCCAATTGTTTGATGTTGCTCTCTCCACATTTGTCCACATAAAATGATGTTAGCACCTGAAGATTTTTCAGTTTACCTAATTGCTTCTGCATCTCTCTCACTTGAGTTTCACAAAAATCAAGATGTCGTAGATTAATAAGCCTATGCAAATCCGTGGGCAACTTTTCCAAATCACAACAATGCCACAACTTCAATGTTTGCAAATGATAAAGTTGACATATTGAATCAGGCAATTTCCTTTAGTTCCTGATAGGTCTAAATAACGGAGATGCTTGAGATTTCCAATTGAATCAGGCAAACTCTTAATGCTATAATAATCAGACAAAGAAAAAACCCACATGCAACTGAACTTGGATGGTAGATCAAGAATAATCTTGCTAGACATCCAATAAAGAAAATTTGTATAGCTTGTACTTCTATGACCTTGCATAGATAAAGGCAAGAGAGGGTGCAATCTATTAGCTTGGTATATAACTTCAAAACGCTTGGAAGATTCATAGTAAGTTCTTAAATATGAAACATGGTGGGTCATTTTTGTCAAATTATTTGCTTCATCTACCTCGAACCTATGGCAAAATTTTCCATATTCAACTTTTTGCTAAATCATTGATAAGATCATGCATGACAAAATGTGTTTCATCTCTCACTGACCGTTCAAAAAGTGACCTCAACAATAGATCTTGAAACAATTGTTCTCCTACTTCTCTTGCATCTTTGTTTTGATCAGCAGATGGTATAAAATGTTCTGCCATCCACAATTGAATTAAATGTTCCTTATCAAAATCATAATCTTTAGGAAATATTGAGCAGTAAGCAAAACAACTCTTGAGATGAGAGGGGAGGTAACGATAACTCTATCTCAAAGCAGGGAAAATTTCACTATCGCTTTTCTCCTCCCATATATCACCTTTAAGAATGCCATTCCATTGCTCATGGGATAATTCTGAGTACAAAAGGCTCCCAATGGCTTTCAATGCTAAAGGCAACCCTTTGCACTTTTTGCAGATTTTTCTACCAATTTCTTCAAGTTTAGAGTTTGAACGAAGAATATCTATATCATGGAATGCATACCTACTGAATAACGACCAGCTATCTCCTTCTGGTAAGGGCTTCAATGAAAGTGTTTTAGCAGAACGCATGGTTGAAACAACCTTTCTGCCACAGGTGGTTAGTAGAATTTTACTTCCTGGAGCCCCATGATTGAAAGGTGATTGCAAGGCCTCCCATAGCATATAATTTTCATTCCACACGTCGTCTAAAACAAAGAGAAATCTTTTCTGAGTCAGATGCTCTTTCAGTTTAATTTGAAGCATATTGAAATCGTTGGCATCATCTTTAGACGCACTGATTGCCTCGTAAATTGTTATTGTTACCTTCAGAACATTAAACTCATCAGAAACACACACTCAAGCTTGAAGGTCAAATTCACCCGTCACCCTCTTATCATTATAAACAAGTTGAGCAAGAGTAGTTTTACCTAACACTCCCATACCCACTATGGAAATGACAGAAGTTGACGGTTATCCTTGTCTGATAACCATTCAATAATCTTTTCTTTGTCATTGTTCTAGCTTCATCCACTAATGATGTAGTTGGCAATCTATCTGGTAAATACACTTCTCAATTTTGCACCACTACCTCTTTCATTCAATTTTAATATATCCTTTTGAGATGCAAGATATTCTAGACTTTCAAGAGTTTTTCATCTTGGATTCAATTTCATTCTCAAATGAACTAAGAGGAGCAGTAAAGAAGTTTCGAACCTTGCCGATAGCACTGGTTTTACTCTCAATTTCAGCTTCCACCAGGCGCTTGAACGCTTCATGGTCAATCTCATCCAAGACATCTTCAGCATCAAACACGGCATCTTTGTCCATATCAATCCAGGCCTTTACCTTTGGACTAGAAATCTGCTTTTGCTCTGTATCATCAACTACAGCGTCGATGGATAACAGCACGATTTTTAACTTATTCAGCAACGTCTGGTTCAATTTCTGTTTCTTGAAGAAGTCCAGAACATTGCAAGAGCCAGCCTGTCAAAAGCCACCTGAAGAAAAGCAGAGAGAACAACTCCACCAACTAACGCTCCAACAATTAGTTCGTTGGGGACCTGGGGATCTGCAGAGATGGATTCAACAGAAGGAAATGACCGGAGGATGCAAAATTGGAAATGATGCACTGTGTGTTTGGTTTGGTGTGCATGGCTTGAAGATGTCTCTTTCCGAATTCCGATCATATTGACCTCGTTTGATTTTCTGTTGCGTTATAATTAATTAGTATAATTAATTTATAACGTAATACTGTTTTTTTAAAATTAATTTTAATAAAATTAAAATATTTAAATAATTTAATCAGAATTAATTTTAACTATATAAATTATTATAAAAATATTTTTTAAAAAATTAAATTATTAATAAATTTATATATAATATTATTAAATTTATTAAATTTTATTTAATACAAAAATAAATTATTAACAAATTATTGATTATTAATATGGTAAAATGAGAATCAAATAAGCTTGTATAAATAGCTTAATAAAAAAATTGATAATCGATTATTTCATGACTGTGCTGTTTGGATACTTTCTTTTCGAAAATCGATTTCCTCCCAAAAAATTGATTAATGAGGTTAATCAAACAGGCAGGCAGAAAGCTGTCCGGAAGACTTTTTTTAGTTGTTACATCCCCCGCTTCACATCCAAGACTTCTGATTCCATTTATCAAGTCTTTTTCTGCATATAAGTATTAAAATATAAAAAAGTCCTCAATTTTAATATTATTAAATCTCAACATCTTTAAATATTTAAAATTTAAAAAACATAATAATAAATTTTTATAATTTTATTAAATTTTAATTTTAAATTTTTATAATTTTTTCACTATTTTTAATCTCTATATATTAAAATTATAAATACCAAAATAACAAACGTGACTCAGATATTATATGAACTGAAAATATTAAAAAAATTATAAAAATTAAAAGTAAAATTTTATAAATTTATAAGAATCAATAATTATGTTTTTCCTTTAAAATAAGCTTCCCTAACCTTTTATTTGACTTTTTATTTTTTTCAAAGCCCACAATTGTTAATAACTCATTAATGAGATAACAAAAAAAATATTTAATTATTTTCAACACTAAGATGTAATCCTATAAATAAAGATTTATACGTTAAAATATGAACTACTAATAACAGAAAAAAAATGTGGATAATTTTTTTATAAAATTATTATTAACTTATATAGGATGCTACACAAAATGTTATATATCTTTTCTAAATATGACATAATAAATTCTATTAATAAAATAGTTAAGAAATAATGATAGGGGAGTCTATAATAAAAAAAATTAAAAAAGATTAATTTTAATTTTTTAAAATATGAGAGTTACACTAACTGCTTCAAGAAGATTACATACATACATACATACATATATATATATATATATATATATATATTAACGTTTTTGCTTTTGTCTGATCTTTTATTCCCCACCCTTTGAAATGCGTATTATTTTTTTCGGGCAACCTTTGAAATATTTATTTTAGACCAATCGTTTCTAAGGTTTAGTTGATGATGTCATGAGTTTTACGTTTGTGATGTTTGTTAATGTTTAATTTTTTTATATTTTAATTTATTTTTGACTTAAAGTTTAAAATATGGAAAAGTATAATTTAAGAAAAAACTTTTATTTATAAAAAATATATAGTTATTAAGTAATATTTTTTATAATGAAATTTACAATTATTATATCATTATTTTATTAAGAACAGCCGCTGATATTACGCTCATGCAAAGGTTTGTTACTAATTTATAGAAAAATATATACGTATGTCTTATTAATTTTACTCAGTTTTAAATTAAGTCCTTACAGTTTATTTTATTTTAATTGAATTTTTATAATTTGATCAATTTAATATTTTAATCCCTTATAAAATTCTTAAATTTTTCTTTTAAAAAAATCAAGAACTTTTATGTTTTTATTAAGTGATTATATGACTTTAGAATCAATTACATAATTTTTATAACTCAAATTTATATTGTTTGGTTGTCTTCTAAATATTTTATATATATATATATATATATAGAGAGAGAGAGAGAGAGAATTTTCATAAAAAATTAAGGAATAATGAGCAAAATAAACCCTAAATATTACACAAAAAAAGCCATGAATCTTAAACTCTTAAAATATGCAAAATGAATTCTAAACTTTTTAATTCATAGCAAATTAAACCTTACCGTTAACTTTTTTTAACGTCAATACTGTTCATTTGTTAATTAGCACCACAGACTCTAAACTATTATGCAAATAGCGTCCTGGACTTTAAATTTTAAAATTTTGAGAAAATTATCCCATCATTTATGTATAGAATGTTGACTATTATATAAATCAAATTACTCTCAGCATGGTCTGTCGTGGTGAATGCATCATTAGTCGTGGCGAACGATCCATAATTTTGTAAAATAACATTTTTCCCCTTTTTTGCAATGTTTTCCAAATGATTGGCGTCTCATGTTTAGTATATTCTATAACTTTATTTTAGTTTTATTTTAAATAATTATTATTTATTTAATAGTAAAAACTTGGGATCCCATTATAAAAGAAGTTTAAGTATTAGAGAATTTTATAGATGATGGATGCAAAAGCTGACGATTTCATCAACGGATTTAAAAGCCTAATTAACCGGTTAATTAAAATTTTTTAATATTTAAACTTCTTTTTCAATAAGATACTAAGTTTTAATCATTAAATAAATAAATATTATCCAAAATAAGATCAAATTAGAGCTATAGAGTATACAAAAGTATGAGATACCAATCATTTGAAAAATATCACAAAAAAGAGCTCAAAAAATGTCATTTCATAAAATTATAGGTCATTCACCACAGCCAGCGATGTATTACCATTGCGGACCACACTGAGACTAGTTTAGTCTACATAATAGTCAACGTTCTATACATAAACGGTGGGGATAATTTGCTTGAAATTTCAAAGTTTAAGGTTCAAGACGTTATTCGCATAATAGTTTAGAGTTTGTGATGCTAATTAATAAACAGTAACAATATTAAAAAAGAAGTTAACGGTAGAGTTTAATTTACTATGAATTTAAAAATTTAAAATCTATTTTACACATTTTAAAATTTAGTGTTTATGGCACTTTTTGCACAATACTTCAAGATTTATTTTGCTCATTAATCCAAAAATTAATAAAAATGTAAACATCATATTAAATAAATTTTTATTTTTTCAATTTTTGCTAAAAGTATTAAATTAAATTTTTTGTAAACTTCAAGAGTACTTTTTTTTGGTAAAATTTAATAATCCATTATTAATTTTAACCTTCAAAAGTTAACATATATAATATATTAAACTATGAGATTTAATAAAAACAAAATAAATTATAAGAACTTAATTTAAAATTAAGTGAAATTATAAAAAATTACAAATATATTTTTTTCTTAACTTATTATGATATCTAGGCCACTCACTATTCACTACCATTAGTCACTATCCTATTCTATAAAATATTTTTTTCATAAAATTATTAATACTAATACAAGTAATTAAATATAATTTTAAATCCTAGCTTTTTATAAAAAACTATAAACTTCCAAAAATAAATTTTATTTAACAAGGAGACGAAAAAATATTTAAAAATTGAAGTAATAATAGGTAATTTTAAAATAAATTTCATCAATATCCCTATAAAATGTCAAGGGAAGTTTCACCGTGGATGAAAAGTAAGTGGCAGCGTAAGTGGTTAGGGGTACTCACTCTTGTAGTGCTTGTCCTGCTTAAATCTAGATTAGTCCAGGTCCCATTAAATCCTCACAGCTCAAATAAAACCAAGTCAGGGCACCGGGTGCTCACACAAAAACAAAATAAAAATAAAAATTAGGCCTATCTTTGACTTTGAGCTGCGCCTGATTGAATCATTAATGGTGCATTAAATATTAAAAAAAATAATATTTTAATCTTCATAGTTTTATAAGATTGTCAATTTAATCCTTATAGTTTTTTTTTTAACTCACTCCCTATAATTTTAGTCATTTAAATCGTTAAGCCTTGGCCTTTAAACTATTATGAAATTAATTTAGTAGAGTCCAACTCGACATGATGGTGTTAAATTGATGCGAATTCAACATGACACAAATTAAAATTTGTTGAGTCAGTTTTTATTTATTTTAAAGGGTGAGAAGAAATAAAAATTTACATAAGATTAAACGCAAAAGTCGCTTTCACTTTTAACACAATGCAGAGGACAGAACCTAGGGCTTTGACGCTTCTCCTCTCAGAGCTTCACTATACTTCTGGGCATTTTGTGATTGATCTCATCTGGGCATTTTTCCTCCTTCATTCTATGGTATTGACAAAGAGATTGTGGCAAAATAACAATATGAAGGAAGAGCCTGGTAGATGATAAAAGTTTCGGAGAAAAAGGAAGAAATAAGGTGTCGCTTCAGGGACGGATCCACGTGCGTTTGCTGTAGTGGGGGCAATTGCCCCCACAACCCAAGAACAAATTACTTAAAAGGACTTAGGTTATATTTTTTTGGCTCACTAAAAAAATTTAATTGGCCCCTCACTTTAAAAGAATTTCATTTATTTCCTTTTAAAATTTTACTCATCCCATTAGAAAATTTATTATCTAAAACTATAATATATATATATATATATAAAACCTTGAATAGCAATAGTTTTATGATGGAAAAGTAATAGTTCAGAAAAAAAATTTTTTATGAAAAAAATTTTGTACAAAAAATTCTCAAGCATGTAATTTCTTTGGAGGCAAAATGATGATAAGAAAATGAAGAGGTTTGTGTGTACAAAATTCTCTACCATACAAAAGAGGTATACTTCCTCAAGCATCTTTTAGGTATTGGATGTTAAAAAATATAAAGTATTTTTAATATTTTAATGTGTAATTAATGTGTTTTTTAAAAAGTGCTTTTAATAAATAGATCACTTTATATTTATTTTCAAGTGAAACATTTTATTAAATAGGAATAAATATGAAAAGACAGTGTTAGTTCAAAGACAACTAACTAGTTTATTGAAATGAGATTTAATTAAAAATGTCTTATATTTTTTAAGTGAGGGAATATAAATTTTATTTAATGAAAATTAAAAAATTATGATGCGGTATATGAAGAGGGTATT